CTTTAATGTATATTCATTGGCTGTCAAAGGTAATTATGTCTTTGTGTTGAATTATAATTCTCAAAGACCCAAAAATTTTTTAGGATCTCTTAGTGTCTATTAAATCTTTATACCTTTATAAACTAAGTTCAATTTATTACAGAAACAAGTTCATTTTATTAAGTCTTGAAATTATCAACTCCTTATTACTAATCATCTGATCAAACTACTTAAACTTAGAGTCCTTATTACACCGATAGATCTATTCAATCGAATTGGTTTTGATGCCAAATCTGTTTCAACTAATATTCCTTTAACATCCTATCAAAATGTTATCTATCTTTTAAATAAATATTTTAAATAGGTAATGACTAAACTGTTATTACATAAACTAATAATTGTCAATTATAGTTAACATCCTATTTATTAAAAAAAGATCCAATTTAAGGAGTACCTTTACTTAAATTAGTTGGAGGAGCTCAATCTAAATTTGGTTATCCTCAAGTATAGGATTTTTTAGCCAATATCCCTAAGAATATTGGTTTGTAATTATATTTAAATTATCTTTTTTAGCCAAGATTGTATGCTAACATTATTAGAAAAGGTTGATATCAATGAGAACTTATTATACACTTATTATTTGAATCCAAATTATTAACTTTATGTATAAAATTTTGATGGTGATTTAGCTGAAAAATATGTTTCACCTACACTCAATAATGATTTTACTTCAGATTCAGGTTAGGGATTTTTAAGACAATATAAAACTGAATAATCTGAAGAAGATAAAACATAATTAGAATCTGATTTTGATTTGTTTTGGTAAAAAATAAAATGAGTTATTAATAAATAAAAATAAATAATTTATGTTATATATTTTAGTGTATAATTTATATAATTAATGAATATAATAGAAGTAAATTATTTATAAAAATATATAATTAAAAAAAATGACAAACTAATAAAGATATCTCCTTAAAGTCTTTTAATCATTTTAATTGTTAATTGTGCATTTATCAAATATTTAAGAATTATAAATATTGTGATTAATTTCAATAATCCTTAGATATGTAGAAATACCCAGTAGTCATTAAATATCTGTTAGATATATTGAAAAATTAATTGGAATAAATTTCTATATATGGAAATATGTAGGTGAGATGATAAAATTTAGATTATTGTCATAATTTTAGAGATTTAATAAAAATTAAGTTTACTAGGAAAAGACTCTTAAAAATTTCATATATGCATAATAAATGATGAAAGATTTGAATAATTGTCACTTTATCATATTTAAACAGATTTGATTATTTGGATTATTTAAAATAATTTTGTGGTTATTTGTTAAGATATAATAAAATTATATAGATTAATTAAAATGATTCAATATTTATTTTGATTATTAATAAAAGTGGAATTATTGTAAATATTTATTCAAAAATGATTAAAAAAAAAAATAAATATAATTTGACAATTTATATATATAAATAATATCAAAATCATTTAAAATAAAAATGAACTCAAATATTTCTCTGTTATTGATGTTTAAGTTTATTTAAATAATTTATATATTTAATAGATTATATTAGATCCAATTAAAAAAGCCTAAGATAATAATGGCAAATTTACATACGCAAAATTAATAACACTATCTTTATACATAAAAGAAAATTATAGTTTTCTATAAGAAAGTATGATGAAATGATTGTTTTTGGATTTGTATAAAAAATTACATGAGTTTAGGTGTTTTAAAAAATGGAAGATATGATAATATTGTTATATAGTGATATCATTTCTGAAAGGTGACTTTTCTTTAGGTATTTGTTACCTTCTCAATTCTGATAAGGAACTTATGATTTTTAATGATAATGAATTAGTTGATAAATTTCAAATTTAAAAAAGAAATCTTTATGGCAAATCCAAATTTTGATCTTTATGTTTTATTTCATTAAAATAAATGGATTAGAATTGAAATGTTCATAAAAAATTAACTTACTCCGTTCATTAAATTAATTGATGATAACATAATGTGGACACAATTAAGGATGTATGATTTATATATAGGAATTAAGAAATAAAATGTAAATACAATATATAAAGTTTTTAATACAAAGATTATTTAACTACTTCAAATCAAGACTTCTTAATAAAATGAAAAAAACAGTAATTCGTGATTTTGCGGTGAATTTTCAATTTATATTTGTACTTATTAGTGGAATCAATGAGATTCAAATCTATTCTTTATATCTAAAAAATAAATTTAGACTTAATCAAACCTAAATAATGCTTAAAAAGAATATATTAATAATAATTATAATAAGAACCTATTATATATTAAATGTAATAACATAAAATAATTGTAGATTATGTTAATTAATTGAATATCATCTCTCAATTTAAGTGACTGAATAATAAAGAGTTCAATTACTTTTGTCTATATTTACATCTACTCTTTTCGTTGTCTTTAGAACAGTTACAAATAAAGGTATTTGTAATATCTTATTCATAACTTGAATTCACAAACGCTTTTAAAAAGGTTAGGTGAGGAAATTATTTTTTCTCATTTTAAAAATTTTTTTTTTTTTTTCAGAAAATTTAGAAAATTTAATTGTTATCAAATTAAAAAAATATCAAAAAAAATAATTAAATTATTTAACAACATTATGTGAATGCTGAAATAAACTTCTATTAAAAGGTTTCGGGTTTGGATTGGGGTTATGTTTAAGGATTTAACATTATTTAATTATTCATACTTAACCACAAAAAGTAATAAATAAATAAATCGCTTTTATGCGATTATAAAAAATAAACTTATGATTTAATTATTGCTCTTAGATCGATCTAATATTTATCAATTCTTTTAATAATCATCCAAAATACAGCTTCCTTTTTACTAAAAGAGTGTTTTCAGATCTATACCTGTCTGGTTAACAAATGAGCTTTTGAATATTAAAGCTCCTTTTGCTTGGAATATGGCCTATTAGGATATATGGAGTATATTTAGATTCTAGTTCACTAAGTATAATATATTTAAATTACTTTTTGCAAATTGATTATGTTAGGATAATGGAGTTAGAAATTAGTCTAAATTATCTTTGCAACGTTTATCTGTTGGTTCTATTGATTATCCTGTTTTAACATCCCTTAAATGAACTAAAAAAAAATTATTCTCATCAACATCTTAATCTCCATATTCATAATTGTCACCTGCATTAACATCTTAATCAATATTTTCATTATCATTTTCAGCTTCGTCTGAATTTAATACATAGTAAGCTAATATAGTACCATCAGATGAGAATCTTAATGATCTCACCTTGATAAAGCAATTCATTTTTGCTATATATTGTCCTATCTAAAAATCCCATAGAAGAATAGTATTATCTTAATCACAGAAAGCTAACGTTTTTTGATCAGGAGAGAAACAGACTGTGTTTGAATCAATAGTTTGACAATCTAACATAGTTTTTTATTGTCCTGTTTAAACATCCCACAAACAAATAGAGTTATCACTACAAGATGCTAAAGTATTTCCATCAGGAGAGAAACAGACTAACTTTACTTAATTATCATGACCACATAATTTATTTTTTTATTATCCTGTCTTAACATCCCATAAAAGTATGGAGTTATCCTAATTAACAGATGCTAAAGTATTTCTATCAGGAGAGAAGCAGAATGAATAAACAGAAACACTATGACCATCTAAATTATTTTTTTATTATCCTGTCTTAACATCCCATAAACGTATAGACTTATCATAACTACTAGATGCTAAAGTATTTCCATCAGGAGAGAAACAGACCGAGTAAACAGTCTCACTATGCTCATCTAATTTATTTATTTATTATCCTGTCTTAACATCCCATAAGCCTATAGAGTTATCAGCACTACCAGATGCTAAAGTATTTCCATCAGGAGAGAAACAGACTGATTATAAAAAATTAGTATGACCATCTAATTTATATTTTTATTTTCCTGTCTTAACATCCCATAATAAGATAGGCCCCGAATGGCCAGATGCTAAAGTATTTCCATCAGGAGAGAAACAGACTGACCTGATGGAACCAATATGACCATCTATTTTATTTTTTAAGAATCCTGTCTTAACATCCCAAAATCGTATAGAATTATCACTACTAGATGCTAAAGTATTTCCATCAAGAGAAAAACAGAGTGAGTAAACAGTTTTGGTATGGCAATTTAGTATATTTTTTTATTATCTTGTCTTAACATCCCATAATTCTATAGACTTATCATTACCACCAGCTATAGTATTTCCATCAGGAGAGAAACATATGGAGTCGAAAGACCTACGAATAGTTAATTCTTTTTTTTATTTTCCTGTCTTAACATCCCAAAAACAAATAGAATTATTAAAACCGGTAGCTAAAGTATTTCCATCAGGAAAGAAACAGATTGACCTGATGATAACAGTATCAACATCTAATTTAATTTTTTATTATCCTGTTTTAACATCCCATAAGCGTATAGAGTCATGACTACCAGATGCTACAGTATTTCCATCAGGAGAGAAACAGACAAAGTCAACACTGTTAGGATGACCATCTAATTTATGTTTTTATAATCCTGTCTTAATATCCCATAGGCGTATAGTATTATCCCTATTACCAGAGTGAAAAAAGCGTAAAAAATTAGCCTTACAACCAGATGCTAAAGTATTTCCATCAGGAGAAAAACAGACAGAGTTTACAGGATCATTATGACCATTGAATTTATTTTTTTATTATCCTGTCTTAACATCCCATAAATCTATAGACTTATCATCGCTACCAGATGCTAAAGTATTTCCATCAGGAGAGAAACAGACTGAGTTTACATAATCATGATGATCTAATTTATGTAGTAATTTTTTTGTCTTAACATCCCATAAGCGTATAGTTTCATCCTTACTACCAGATGCTAAAGTATTTCCATCAGGAGAGAAACAGACTGAGTTTACAATATCTCTATGACCATCTATTTTATACATTAATTTTTTTGTCTTAACATCCCATAAGCAAATAGTTTTATCCTTACTACCAGATGCTAAAGTACTACCATCAGGAGAGAAACAGACTGAATTTATAAAATCGCTATGACCATCTAATTTATACATTAATTTTTTTGTCTTAACATCCCATAAACGTATAGTTTTATCCTTACTACCAGATGCTAAAGTATTACCATCAGGAGAGAAACAGACTGAGTAAACAGCGCTAGTATGACCTTCTAATTTATTTTTTTATTATCCTGTCTTAACATCCCATAAGCGTATAGTTTTATCCTTACTACCAGATGCTAAAGTTTTACCATCAGGAGAGAAACAGACTGAGTAAACAGCGCTAGTATGACCCTCTAATTTATTTTTTTATTATCCTGTCCTAACATCCCATAAACTTATAGAATTTCCTCTACTACCAGATGTTAAAATATTTCCATCAGGAGAGAAACAAACTGAATATACCTTTTAAGTATGACCATCTATTTGACTCAATTCATGAATCTTTATCTTTCTCCATTTACAATTGAACAGCTAAGCTCCATTTAAATTCATTCCACTTACATCCACACCATCAAATTCTGATCCATTAAAGTTGCATCTTACAAATGTTCCACCTATTAAAGAAGTATCCTTAATTCTAATTTCTTCCCAACTCTAATTATTTAGATCTGCCTTCATTTCAACTAATAGGTTAAGTGAATTGGATCCACTTTAGATGAATTGTCTGTCAATTGCTGTAAGGTGAACTAAAAATTTCAAAAAATCGACGATCTTTTCTTCTTTTGATATATTAGAATGTAGTTGTTGTCTAATTTATTAGTAAGTTTCATGTGAATAATCATTTTTATTAAATATGTGTTGACTAATATTTATTATAGCATTTCTTATTTTATTGACGTTATATTATCCTAATTATGCTAAATGTTATTGATATTCCTACTTTGAAAGAAATTCTAAAATATCCAAACTTTTTTGATTTCTCAGCATTTCTATTATTGCAATGAATGCTTTGGAATCGATATCTTTTAAAGAAATTAAAATCTCATTTAAATCTTCTTTCCTTTCAAACTAAAATTATTCTAAATCATTTAATTATTCAAGCTCCTAAACTACTTCATCAATGCTTATCCTTTATCTAGATAGATCTAATTTTCGTTCATTATCTAATCTTTGAACAATCATTTTTTACAATAATTTTGATTGCCAAACTTCACTAACATTTTTTTTTGATTCTTTTATTTTTTTGTTAATTTATTATTGTGTTATACCTATACATTCTTCGATTAATTTATGTACTTCATTTAATTCAAAAAATGGTTAATTATTAAAAATTTCATAAAAGATCATACCTAATGACCATATGTCAATTGTGGAATCATAATATTTATTGACAAACATTTCAGGCGCCATATATATCATTGTTCCATTATTTATAATGTTACTTTCTTTTGTAATTGTTTTTGCGATTCCAAAATCAGTTAATTTGATTTTTTTATCTTTTCCAACAACATAATTAATTAATTTTAGATCTCGATGAAAATATCCTAATTAATGAAATTCTTAAACTCCTTTTGCCATCTAAAATATAAAAAGTTGTATACCTCCAAACATGTCTTTCGTTTATCAGGAAGGCTTATTAAATCTATTTTTTCTCCAAGTTCCATTATTATGAATAATTCTTCTTCTATTTCTTCAAAAGCTAATACTTATATTATATATTTAAATGCTTTTCCTTTGAGAGTTTGTAATATCTTTTTTTCATCTTCACTTGTTGACTTTTGCACTTTTATAGCAACAACACTACCATCTACCATTTCCCCTCGATAAACATCGCTTTATCTTCCTTTAGCAATTTTATTTCCTATTTTAACCTGGATGTTTTCAACTTAAATCTATCTGCTATTTATCATTTAAGCCAAACTCTATTAAATTAAATTTATTTATGAATTTTTTTCAAAAAGAATTTTATGTTAAAAATTAAATACAATGTATTGATCAAAATTTTATCTTGTGAAACTTCATAGAAAAGGATCAGTCAAATAGGCTATTATAAGATGAATAATAGATATATTACATTAGTTATTTAGAATAAAAAAACGAATAGATTTTAGTTAGAATGTTTCATAAGAAAATATGAGTTTAATATTTTTTGGGTCAAATAAAATGGCAAAACAACTTTAACTCAAAAAAATCTTCAATTAAATTGTTTAGTAATAATTATATTTAGCCATATTTTGTACAAAACAATTATTTTAAAGTTTACTATTTATCCTTTAAAAGTTACCTTAATTGTTAGACACTGAATTATATTATTTTTCTTTTACTCCAAAAGTAATATTCAATAACTTTAAAATTTAATTAGTAAATTAATTCTGAATTAAGATGCAGCCCTTAGTGGAAGAACAAGAAGTTGTTCGAAACTCTTCTCCCCTTCATAAAGATACCCAGAAGATTAGTATATGACAGAGTCACGAATTTTTAAATATATCACGATCATAATTTTTCAGATTCTCAGTAAAAAATTAATCAAAGTGATCCTATTAGAAGATTAATAGGAGTGTTGAGAGGTTAACGTAAACTAAATCTTGAGGTTAGTTGATATTGTTAATGGTTATTGAATGGAATAAAAAGAAAGTTGATCTAAACAGTAGTTTGCAACTTCTATCTGGATTTATTTAGAAGTAGAATAAACATTTCTGATTATGAATTTAAACTTTATGATAGATTTATTGAGGTTCAAACCTTATTAATTGTTTTATTAATTTTTGAATGTGGATATTTGAAAAACTTTCCATTTTTAGTAATTGTATTGTTCTACAAAGTCAATTTGAAATGCTTTAATTTAACACATTTATGTTATAATTTATTCGAAGCCAGATTTTACAAATTGAACATTTCATTTACCCAAAGACAATCGAGATATATATCATAAATTATTGCTCAAGGATTTACACTTTGTAAATTTGAACTTCAATATTGATTCTTCGATCTTCTTTATGAATTATTGACAATAGATAATGAGATTAGAAAAAAAAAGTGCCAATTAAGAATAATCTTTCTCAAGCCATTCTTACATTCTCATCATTTCTTTTGTTAATTATGGTAATCTATCTCATTTTTTTGTTTCTTATTATTATTATGAATTAATTTTTGTAGCTAACAATTATAAAAAACATGAAAAAAATTCTCAATTGCAAGATCAACAATTATTCCTTAAAGCTAAATGTGCTAAATGCAATTTTGAGTGAAAAGCAAAATGGATTTATTGCTTAACAAGCCCCCAGTGAGAATATATATTTTTATTCAATATTAATAAAAGTAAACACTTATAAAAATTAAATGAGTATAAATAAATTAAAGCCTATTATTTAGTTATTCAATCGAACTCAAATTGTCTAAAAAGGCATAGTTACAAATCTATCATCTTATTCATCTAATCTAAATTCAAATTGTATTTGAGTTAATTTAAAGAAAGAACATTAGCCAATATACTGTATGAGCAGTCTTCTTGTTATTATATTGCAATCTTCATTAGAAGAAAATGTGATTGTAAAATATAAGGAGAACTCAATCAAAGAGAGATAGATTATTTTTTTTAAGTAATTCAATACAAAACTTTCTTTCATTAGTATCAATTGATTCTTTAAGAATTCTATTCCCTCATTTAATTTTGGAAACTCATTATTAATCCAAGATTAAATGATTGATTTTTTTATTCAAGTTAAATCATCTTATTTATCATAAAAAAGTAATTAACATTTCAGCATACCTCTAAAAGTCAAGTCTTATGGAGTGATAATAAGGGAAAGAGTAAAAAGAAGAAATTTAAACGATTCAAATAGCAAAAAGTTGCTCCGTTCCATTTGAGTGTATTATCTCTTCTTAATTGCTCCAGATTATCTTCCACAAGAAAAAAAATGGGGAAGACTTGGCTGAAGTTGCATTTAAATAAAACGATTCGATAATGTTTATATTAATAATTAATTTAATATTATTAATTTTTTGTTTTGATTATTTCTGATCATAATATTCTCTATTGTTTTTATTGCATTGAGTTACAAAAGGAACAATTTTTAGATACAGAAACATAGAAGTGAATTTTATAGTAAAAACCCATAAACAATTCTTCAAGATTAAAAAATCTCTAAAATAAATAACGATTTTCAACACTTCAATTTAAGGATTCTAAATTCTGGAAATTAAGTTTCCATTAAATCATCCCATCAGTTTAGCAGAGTTTATAAAATAAACACTATGAAAATGATTAAAATTTATCTAAACTTAATAACAAAAATAAATTTAAATATCATTAATATATCTAGACTAAATATTAAAAATGGATCTCGAAACAATTATAAAATATTAGATTTATGAATAAATGATAAATCATTTATTTTAATAATATAAAGATTATAAGATTATTATTATATAGTTAAAATAGGTTGAAAAGAATGAGAAATCTTTTGATGTTTGGAATATTGGATCATGTGCTATATATGAGCTCAGGGATCTTTCTACAATGAACAAAATCTATTTCTCACCATAATAAGCAATTTGAAAAATGGAAGTCCTTTAAAATTTATTTACTTTCCTCCTCTATTGATTCATCTCTTTTATTTCTTAATTGCATAGTTACTTCTAAGTCTATTTTTGGTTATCTTGAATATGTGAGATCTCTTAATCTAGCAATCATTGGAAAGATCTCCTCCTCAAATTTATCGACGTGAATATTCTTTTTACCCATACAACATCTTGTTATTTAGAATTAATATAGGTATTCAAAATCACCAACTTCTCGAACTTGTTCCTTGTATTATGGTTATACAACAAAGGTACCTTCATGTTCCCTGACAAATTAGATCACATTTTCAACAAATTTTCAAATGAGCCAAATTATGGTGAAACTAATCCATGAGTTTAAAAAAACATTCTAAGGAGTCATCATTGTCTAATTTCCAATTTCCATCTTCTTCTTCCTCTTGCATAGAATCGTACCTTCCTCGTACTAAAAAAATTTTGAAAACTCTTCATCAATGTTAGACATGACGAGTAATAATAAATAAAAAGATTAAAGCAATTATACTCTCTCCACATTATAGTAATACTAAGATGGCATACAAACAAAAGAAACCTTATCAGCCAGTTAAAGACATCAAAAAATCTGTTGTTGATTTTCTAAAATGAAAAAATTTCAAATTCTAAAATTAACAAGCCCCAGTAACTTAATAATAATCTTCTTTATAAACTCAATTTCAATTAAAACAATACAGTCCTGACTCTATACTTATGGCAGAGAAACAAAAAATTGATGAAATCACTGTATAAAAAAAAAATATTGAAACAGCATAATAAATCATATCCTAATTAGAAAAAGAGAATAATGATCTAAGAACATAAGTTTTATAATGATATGCTGATTATGTTAAAAATATCATAAGCATTTCTTGATTAACAATTTGGATGTGAGAAATTATCAAGCGAATTCAATAATATATATGGATATATTATTAAATAAATTATTATAGGCAAAGTATCAATCTGTAGAGCCATTTTAAAAAGATTTATAGATTAAATTAGAATTTTGTCCAAAAGAGAATGAACTGACGTAAGCAGAAATAGAAGAATATAAAATTAAAAATATTGGGAAAAAGGCAATATAAAATTTATATAATGATTAAATATGTTATAGTCTGAAATTTAATAATTGAGGAAAATACTTTAATTAAAAGATGAAGAAATTTAAGGAAAAAAAAATAAATAATTGAATTAATCTCTAATGTTTCAAGAAAGAAAGAATGTTGTGTAAATTTATAGTCCTTAAAATCATATCTAAATGCTTGAATAGAATTCTGGAGAACTTACTTAATTAAAAAAAAATAATTAATTAAGAAGAGATAAATTAAATAAATAAGCGAAAATTACAATTATTTAAAGTTATGTTAATTAAATAAGTTAATTATAATCATAAAATTAATCAAATTAAAATGAAAAATTATTAACTCTAAATTAATTTTATATAAAATTTTTAAATAACGTAAATATATCATTTCCAAATCAACAAACTTATTTTTTAAAAAGTATTGTTTTAACCTGGTAACTATCACCCTTTGTGAATTAAGAATAAATAATTTTTACATATATAATAAATTTTTCAAATTTTGAGACCCACTTGTAGACCTTAAAATTGTTCTGTAATCCAACAATATTGCCTAATTTTTTTCTATTATAAAGAATTTGATTTTTATTTTCAGATTAGCTTAATCTATAAAATATAAAATAGATCAAATGTCGTTCTTGAATTTAGAAAGGTAAAATGAAAACAAATTATTAAGTTCTCTTGTTCAGTAATGTAGGATGTAAAAAAGATTTATGGATATTTTCAAAGTCATAAGTCATTTTTTTATAGAATTTAATTTGCCTTATATTCTTCAATTTCTTTAGAGATTAAATAATGATGTGTTTCAAATCTAACCGTCTCCTCTTAGCTTTTCTCATCTTCCTTCTCTACCTAGATCGATTTATTAAATTCATCTTATGATTAAATCACCCCTTAAATGAAAAAAATAATATTTCAGATTATTTTTTCAGATAATTTGAAGTTAATGCAGGAGTGTTAAAACGAGAGGATTAAATTTTACCTATAATTCAATTACCTATCTTTTTGCATTCCTAAGTTTGTTTAAAATACTCTGGTAATTTTACTAAATACAAGTTCTTTAGTAGATCAATACATATATTGAACTCTTTTAGTCATCTTTATTTCCAATCTGTACTCCTTTAAGTTATTTTATACAAACAAAATATAATGAGCCAATATATATAACTTAAAGAACTTAAATTTTCAATAAATTCTTGAGATAATCCAAAATCTATAATTTGAAAAATATTACCTTGCAAAATTTTTGAATCATTTAAAAATTTAAATATCATAATATTTCATAATATTTTCAAGCTTAATATCAAGATGTCTTCTTAAATGAGCCTTTTTCTAAAATTTCTGTAATACTCAATTGATTCTTAGTCTTTGTGACAATGATAATAGCATTTTGATTTCATTTTACTTTAACCAATTCCAGAAACCTTCTTCTGCACAAATACAAAGTCTAAAATATTTTTTTAGCTTTAAAGATTATATGTTCAGAGCTACATTTTAAAATTTGAAAGAAAAAGATATAAAGAAGCTTATAGATACATATAGATGTCTAGTTAAAATATTAAATATGTTAAAGAACATCTTTCTATTTTAATAATCAATAATCAATGGGTTTATTAATTTCTTAAAACATTCTCCAAAGAATTGAAATTAAATTTTATTATTTAATTATATTGGAATTTATTTATGGTTATCTAAAAATTAAAATCGTTTTAACTTTGAGATGTTTCTATTTATTATTTTAACTTGATTGATTTTGTCAGGTACAAATCTAATTTAATTTTGCAACACTTAGATAAAATTATAACCCCTAAACAAAATCATTTTTTAACTCTAAAAAATTTTCCTTGCTTTTATCCTTTATTATTTATAACTATAAACACATGTGATATTAAGGATTTAAATATCATAAATATCTGAAACTTATTCCTAATTTTCTCTAAACAATTTCTGTATTTCTCATCAGTTCTATCTAAAATTCAACTTCTTTATTCCTATTCTTGATTTCAAAATTTATTTCAAAATTATTTCTTATTAACAAAATCGAGTTATTATGATTATCATAATAAACAGAAAAAATCTTACTAATTTTAAGAAATAATAAATGGGATAGGGCGATACATTGGCTTAAGAGGCGATAAGGAATTTTAATTACGAATTATTTAAAATAATAAAAAAGGAGATCAAGAATTAAGTAATACGATAATAAAATAATAACACAGAATTATTGAAAGAAAATTTAGATCTAGCTAATCTTTTAACAGGATTAATAAAGCCACGCCAAATTGGATCTGAAATTGATTTATCAACAAAAGAAACGAAAAAGTTAGAAAACAGATTAAATTTTCTGTTTTTTAAAAACCAATATATTTTCACCTTTTTTAAAATCTGAAAAATAATAAAAAGGCTAATTATTTCTGAGTTGGTATTTTTAATTTCTATTATTTTGTTATTCTTAAATAAATGAATAATTCAAGTATATTTATATTTAATAAATAAAAACTCATGGCATTTTACCCAGCATTATTGATACTTTTTAATCTGATATTCACTTAAGTCACAAAGTTAAATCCATAATATTAATTTTATTAATAAGAGTTTAATTTTAAAGATGGAGACTATAGCGGAAATGATTGCTTCATTTATGGAATATGGTCTAAATACAATCCATTAAGCATTGTTTCTTAAGTCGGTTCAGTAGGTTTGTTTGACAGCAATTATTATCACTTACATAATATAGTTAGCATGTCTTCTGAAAATTTGAATCTTATTTACTATGATTATTTAGAATTTAACTCTCAAAAAATTAAAAAGATACTTGAGTTTATCAATGAAGATGATATAATTACAAGATTCGAAATCAGCATCGATGCTTTACAATATGAAAATATTTGGTATTATTTAGGAATCATTGAATGGCCGGCATAATTAAAATTTGAAATAATAATAATTTAAGAAGACAGAATTAGAATTCATGAAATTAAATAAATGAAACAGCCTTTTAAAGATACAAATATATTATTAAAATTTGGAGGAGATTTCGTAGTAACAAATACATCATAGTCAATTCCATCTGTGAAAACCTAAACTAAATTTTCATATTTTCCAGGCTATATAATGATATAAAAATTAAGCAAATAATTATTATAATTTGATGTTGATTTCGTTGATATTGCTAGGAATAATTATGAGATATATGGAAAATGTTATTGTATAATGGATGAAAAGTTTTAAATAGATGATTCTGAATTAAATAAATTGGATAAGCAAATTTATATTTCAAAAAATACTAATTGTGATTCCTTTATTTTTTAAGGATGGTTTAAGATTATTGATGTTATTTCATCTGATGATGAATTTACCTATAAATTTATAACATTATCAGCAAATTATGAAAACTCCCTTTCTAATAAAAATTTATAACCATTTTAAATGAGTTATTTTATCTCATCTAATGAGAATAAAATATTAATGACAACTTATAGCTATACCTTTCCTGCTATTTCTATTGATTTTAAAGATGATCCTTTTATTTAGTAAAAAGAGTTTGTCATTACAAATTCCATAACTGTATGGCATATTATATTTGTTGAATTGTAAGAGACATTATTGAATTGTTCTATTAAATTTTATGAAGCTGGTAACATCTATGAATACAATGTTTAATTTGATGTTAATTAATTTCATATTATTCAGCTTAAACTGTAATATGGAAATCTACTTTAATCCACTACAAATTTTATAAATATGGAAGTGAAAAACTTAATACTTTAGAATTGTCATCAAAATTTTTAATAATAAAACTGCCACTTTAGTTGCCAAGAGTGTGATGGACCGACAATGTATAATTGTTTATCTTGTTTCGAAGAATCATAACGAATATATATACCTGAATAAAAAGTTTGTGTATGTCCATATAATTCTATTGATGAAATAACTTGTTAAATTTATCTAGATTTAAGCTTTTAATTGATATTAGGAGAAAAGTAAAATGTGGTTTGTTAATTAGGTTATTTTGAATATTAAGAAGAATGTTTCAAATGGTAAATTTTAATTGCAATTATTTTAGTCCTTCATTAATAAGAGAAAACTTACTTAGTTGTTTAGAATGCTTAAATAATCCAAAGGGATGGAAAGAATAACCTTTCTGTAATAACGATCTATACTTTAATAATTAAGGAGGTACTTAATAATAAATCTATTCACCAACTCCATATTTTTTTGTAGATGGTATTGAAGTAACTTTGTGTTAATTTTGCAGTAATACTAATTTCTCCAGTTTAGAAGATCAGTATTTAGATTATTTATAGCAAAATTAAATTTTTTAATCTTTTTGTCAAAATAATGATGACCTATACTTTTAGTGTTATAAATGCTCTATTCCATTTTGCATTAAATGTCATTTATCTATTCAAGGTCTTCAATGTATAAAATGTTATTATGGTTACAAGTTGAATGATGGTAAATGTATAAGCAAACGCAATGTTGAATTTTCTAGTTTCTGTCAATCTCCTTAATATATGACCTCAAAGAAAAAATGTGCTTAATGTTCAATCAGTTATTGCAAATATTGTTTTGAATATCAACCTAATAATCTCTTGAAAAGTACATTGTATAAAAATTTTGAACAATTTGGTGAAGGAGAAGAGCTTAAAGTTGGATGTGCACTTTGTGATGAAGGTTTTATATTTAATTTCAATAAAGGTAAATGTATTAATCAGAAACCTCAGATTTAAAATTGTATAAGATCCTTCATTAATTAAAATGAAAAGGAACTTTGTACATTATCTGAAGTTGATGATTTTAAAATAGCTCCTGAAATTTTAAATTGTCAAAAATACTTAAATAATTGCTTATAATGCTTGTTATCTCCTGATTCCATTCTGAAGTGCATCATTTGTTAAGAAGGATACACTAGTTCTATAATTAATGGAGATTGTTATAAAAATTAGTTGATGAATACTAAAATCGCTATCGAAGGTGATTTAAATTTAAGAGATGGTTGGGTTTAAAGGATTCAAAGTTTTATGATACAATTTTTACCAAATAAATATCTGTATCCTAAATCAGAGTTTAAATCATTTATTAAAGGAATGATTGTGGAGTGCAACCAAGGCTATAGATATATTGGAGAATCTAGTTGTGAAAAATATTGTGATGACTCATGCTTATAATGTGAAACCAATGTCAATGGACCTTATTGCGCAAAATGTCCTTTAAATTATTATTAAGAGCCCATTAGAGATTAAGAAAATGGATAATGTTCTGAGTGTTCATAATTATGTTAAATTTGCTAAAGTAGAACTTAAGAAGAAATTTATGTAATTTTATATACTTTTTAATTAGAATTAATAACCAACTTTTATCTTAGATGAAAAAAATAAAATTTTTACAAAGAAATGTTTAAAACCTATTAATAATCCAAACATCATATATAATTCTTATACTCAAGGAGCAAGATATTGTTTTGAATCTAATTGTCTTAATTAAATTATGTATGAAGTGAGACTTACTTTTTGTGGAGGCTTGTTTGTATTTTGGCAATTTGGAATTGACTAAGGTATCAATATAAAATATTGTAATTAAATGGGAATAGATACAATAACAATTGTTTTTACATTCTAAATTAGTAGCTAATTTTGTGAACTCAGATTTGACTTCACCATGTCGAATTAATTAAAATCAAAGATATTTTCACTTCGCAATACTTACTTTTTAATAACTTCTGTCGAGAATTTATATATAAATTCTCCCAATTCGTTTGAAATTAACTATTTCGATAAAATAGAATTAAATAATTTTGTTCTTTAATTTAGTAATTCATAACGATTTATCATAAATAATAATAATACTTAAGTAGATTTAAAATTGATCAATTTTGCCTTTAAATTATGTAATATTACTAGTACACTATCTTTGTTTTAAAATGAAATATTCGGAAATATTCAAGCCAATAATTTTTCCATATTAGAATCAACTTTTATTAATTCCTCTATTCTGAATTTAGAAGCATATAAATTAAATGGTTTAATTATAATTTAAAAGCTATAGATCTTGAGATGCTTTTTAAAAGATTCTAACTTATTCTAATTTGGAAACAACTAATTTAACATTTTAATATAAGATTTAATTATAGAAGAATGTGAGTTTTATAATTCTTCGATTTTTATGTTTAAAGACAATCTTAGAGATTTATCAGTTTTACAAATTTAAAATATAACAATCCAAAAAAATATATTTTATCATTCAAATTTCATTAAAAATGCTAATTTAATTTAATTGAGTTTAATGAATTTCAACTTTAGTAAGAATAATTTGATTTCATCAAATTTAATATCTTTTAACTATCATTTAACTATAAATAATTCCTACATACTAGAAAATTATTTTTAGGAATCAATAACATTGAATTTGCTTTAAACTTAAAGTTTTTAAAAAGCAAGCATCTTCATTACTAATCTATATTTGTAATTAAATTCAATTAAGAATACAAGCTTATTTTTTTTATATTCAAATTAATTAAATAACTATTATTTAGATATATCATTAATCTACATAAAAGATAATTAAAGATTAGATATGGTAGATAAGAATTTTTTTTCAATCAGAACTAATTCCTAAATAAAAAGAAAATTGCATCTTTTCTACTATTGATGATGAAATGGCTCTATTTGTTATATCGTGTAGCTAATTACATATTTTTAATGCAAATATTATTAATGTTAATGATTAAACAATTTTCAAAATTTATGAAACCAAAAACATTCTTATTTAAAATTTGTTATATAAAAATGAGATACAATATTTTACTATTCCTATATTTATTGATTGCCATAGTTTAATCTAATAGAGAAATCAACTTTTTATAATAATTGGATTCTTTTCAATAGAAATTCTTGATGTTTAAGTAATAAGATAATTTAATATTGATTTATCATTTATTGATATAAGTAATGGAAGGGGATATTAAAAATATTAATCAGGAAGGATTTCTATTTGTAATGTCAGTTTTTAAGAGAACCTTTAACTATCAAGGTAATAAATCAATTTGATGTCATTATTAAGTATTCATGCTGAAATTGAATTAACTATAAATTTGAAAAACATCAACTTTATAGAAAATGTTGTACATTCACAGGCAGACAGTACTTTAAAGAATGCTGCAAGTTTAATGTTAATAGCTTCTTCAGTAAGCTTTGTGTTAATCGAAAACGTTAACAGTCAAAATAATGCATTTACCAACTCTACAAATACTTTTTTTAATGTAATTTCTAATTAAATTTTTATCAATAATTTAACTATTATAAATCATAATGTATTAACTTAAGAATTGTGGCAAAAATATTATGATCTTTAATTTGAAGATAAATTTAATTAAGAAGATTTGAATAATTTAATTTTTTAAATACTTAAAATATCAAATATTGCGGGTGTCTGTTCAATAACATTATCTAAATTTTCTTGTTAAAATTGCAATTTTACCAACATTTTCGCGTATAAAAGTAGTATTTTTCAAATTAATACAATAAATGAAGGATTAATTAAATTAAATTAAATCTAAATTTAGTCTGTTTAAAATAATATCTAAATGATTACAAATAGTTCAGGTTGCATAAGCATAAATGCTTAAAATAGTTTATTAAATCTTCAAATTACAAATGCAATATTTACAAATGTTTTAAACAGAATGGCAGCTTCAATTTTAACAATTCAATCCTCCGAAATGCAGAATTAAATCTCATTTTTAAATATCCAGATTTTAAATTGCATTTCTTTAATTAATTAATTTCTGTACGTAAGATTTTCTCCATAAAATATAAACAATAACATTTTAATACTTGAAAATTTATTGATCTAACAGAGTGAAGAGAAATGGAAATAGTATTTCTCAAATTTCGCAACTTTAAGCGAAATTGAGATGGCTTAAATAAGTGGAGAAAATAATGCTGTAATTAACATTTAAAATTGTTAAATTATTATTAAAGAAATAGTTACAGAGGGATTATTTATTTCACCAATTATGAGATTCAATAATGTTTTTAAAATCCTTTTATTCAATGTTTACATATAAGATATTCAATTATTTTATCCAACTAATATTATCATAGTAGATTAAGACTTAAATATTAAAAATGTAATATCATTCCAATAAGTGTACCTTTTAAGAATTTAGATATTTAATACTAGCGAAGTTATTTTTAAGCAACAACATAATATTTATTAAATTAAAACTTGCAAATTATTTAAGACAGTCTCAACAACTAATTAAAAATTTCTTAATATTTCGTCATTTTAAAATTAATTTTCAAAATTATCTCAAAAATCTTTGTCGGTAATTTCTATAAATAGTGTATAATATGAAAATTAAATTAAATTTTAAAAAATCAGAATATAGCAGAATTTTTGTTCATTTTGTAGTGATGGTTTAATCAATTTTAAAGTAATCAGTATCAATTTTTTTTAAATAGAAGATTTTTCTTGTAGCTAAAATTAAATTTTGTCCTATGGATGTTTACTATTTCAATAAAAAGAATAAATCAGCACCAGGATAAAAATCGTAAATTCAAATTTCTATAATAATAACGGAAGCATTGGAGTAGGTATAACAGCTTATAATTCATCCATAACAATAAAATAATGCAAATTATTTAAAAATATAGCCAGTGAAAATGGAGGAGGTTTATATATTGCTTTAAATAACAATAGCTTTCTATTTAATTAATCTATAATTATAAATAATGAAGCTCAAGAGGCTGGAGGTATTTATCTTAATGGAAAATATATTTTGAATAAAACAAATTTTATTATGACTATGTTGCTTTTTAATAAAGCTCTAAATTTTACAAATAATCTAAAAGAAAGCCCAACACATTTATCTTTATTAATTAATGAAAGAGAAATGGCATCTCAAGTTTTATACCATAAAAATTAATAACTGAATATGTTGAAACTGGCTCCTTATTCAGTAATTGAACAAGAAAGATAACACTAAGCAAATTATCTTATGCTTCCTAGTGGTTAATCAATAGGGAATTATGAAATTACAATGCCTTAAATTTCAAAAACATTATTTTACATAAAAGATATTGGATTGTATTTAAAAAATAGCAGAAATGAATACCTTTAGAATTTATTTAACTCAACTTGTATCATATAATTTGATATTATTTCTAATATAAAACAAAATAAAAATTAAATTTAGGAAAGTAATTAGAGAGTTACAGTCTATTTTAATCAATAAAAAAACTATTTTGATTTGAGTTCGCTTTCTATAATTTTCGATCCTTATGATTAGGATAATAAATATTTATAAATTCATGCTGCTTGTAAAATAGATTAATTTAATTAAACTTTGAACTATCTGATAAATGTTAAGAGTTTTAAGTGTTAGCTTGGTGAATTTTATACTAACAAAGGTTGTCAAAAATGTATTGCAAATTAAGGATTTTATTCAGTAACATATGATACAAATAAATGCTCCATATTTGATAAAAATAAATTTTTAGAAATAACAGAGAATAAAATAAATTTGCAATAAGGTTTTTGGAGACCTCATTATCTGTCTGACCAAACAAATTATTGTTTTAAAAATTAAAATTCTTGCAAAGGAGGATGGAGCTATGGAAATAATTTATGTAGCATAGGGCATTCGGGTGCATTATGTGAAGAATGTGATATTTAAAATGTAATGGGATAAGGTAAATATTATAAAACTTAATAAAATTAAGAATGTTAACTTTGTAAGGAATCTATAGAAAATTACGTTTCTTTTATTTTAATTATGATATGGTATAATGTGTTCTTTAATCATAGGGCTATATGTTCCATGATATTAACTTAAAATAGCATATAAAAATCTTATCAAATGTCTACATAACTAAAGTTCAAAGAAAGATTCAATAAAATTTTATTCAAACTAAATTAAGGTATATAAATAAATTAAATTAGATCTTTAAAGTATTCTGATTAAAATGTTGCTAAATTATTTATGGATGTTTTCACTCATTTTTACTTTTAATATATAATTTTCCTTTTAATTTGTCTACATAGATTAATTAAGTAATACATCATATTTCATGGTTAATAATTTGGATTGCTATTTGTCGAATATATAATCAATCGAATTCATTTATTTAAAAATATTTACTATGCTGATCTTCATTCTTTAACAATCCATTGTAATTATTATGGGGTATATAATTTATTCAATTAAAATTAACTAAAAATTTAAGTCTAGCATGATTTCTAATACTTTACTGATTTTATACATATTTAACTTTCCTGGATTGATTAAAATGTAATTAAGAAATATTTTTAGGTTATGCTCTACAATATCTAATAGATGGATATCAAATGTCAATTATATACAAGGAGATGTTTCTTTGCTTTTTGGAAGTGAGAGTCATCTAAAATGGATGTATTACTTTGTAATTCCAATCCTCATTTTTTTTGGATATTTTATTCCTTTTAACCTCTTCGTCTTATTGCATTTTAGAAGAAAACAATTAGATTCATTTAAAATAAGAAGTCATCTTTGTTATCTTTATAACGAATATAATGAACACAGCTATTTTTGGGAGATAATAAAATTAGTTCAAAAAATTATAATGATTCTAATTTCTACATATTTTGAAACTAATATTTCAATTAAAGCATATTTATTTGGAATTACCTTGCTGTTTTACTAAGTTTTAACAGTTAAATTCAAACCATATTTAACTTCACACTTGAATAATTTAGATTTACATACAGGATAAATTTGTTCTATGTCAATATTTTTGGCTGCTGTTAAAAATACAAGTGACAAAGAAAACAATTAGGTTTTTTCTTCTATTTTATAAACAATCATTTTATTTTTATGTGCTTTACTTTGCCGCCCTTTTATATTAAAAATAATCGAAATATATTATAAGAAAAACAAAGAAGTATTTTACATAATTTTTTTTATCTTATTCAAGAAACTAAAATTGAAAATTTGCCTCAAAAACTTAGCTGATTTTATTTCTAAAGAAAAAGAAAAAGATCAAAAGGTTAAAGCCAATTATCAAAAATTGAAAATTCATCTATTTTCAACATTTAGAGCTTAAATGACTAATAGAAGGTAATTTAAATTATTATATTAAGAAATTTTTTAAACTAAGGTAGTATCTCCTTATTCAATTCTTCAAGATAATCAAGAGTTGGCGAAAATTTAAGATTACAATAATTTTTATAATTAGAGTCAAATTGAAATAAAAATTAAATTATATTTATGAAGGCATCTATGAATTAATTTTTCAAGTTTCTTTAATTATCCAATCAAAATTATCCAATCAAATTTATTTTAAGAATTTTCATTTTTATTTTAAAATTTATTATTTTCAGGAACAAAAGATATTTAATTTATTTTGCAACTATATTTTATGGAGTAATAATTAATTATGCATAATTTAATCTTTTCTTTCTTTACAAATTAAAGTTTTTGTTTAACCAAATATAAATTCAGTGAAATTTAAATTAATAATGAGAATTTATCTTAATCTTATGAATAAGATTATATCATATATCCTTACATTAAAATTCTTAAATTTATTCAAAAAGATTTTAAATAATGTAATTTGAATCTTAAAAAAATTGCTTCCTCTAATAAGAAACTGATCTGAAATTTATTATAAATATGATAAAAAATTAAAGAATTTAAATTTATTTGATTATGCCACCCCAAAACTAATAAAAGGTTGGAGCAACATTTGACAAAGAATAAAAGTTCATTCTAAGTTCCTAATAGGTTTCTTTACAAAAAAGGAAGCAATCTGATCCTTAGGAGGTACTTTTTCATAGACGATGACATAATTGATCAGAATTCATCTGATAGAAGTTCTAGATCAGAAAGAGACTATGACTAAGGCTTTAATATTTGTCAGTGAAGATTGGCTGGGTAACTGAATAATGGTAGAGGTTATGGATGAAGCATGAGCATAAGCAACGCATAATACATGGGTATCAAACAGCTAACTGATAACAACTATCGCAAAGGGAAATCATCAAGATTGGAGATTATCATAGGGCAAGCCAGGGGAGACGAAACATGGGTGGTGTTTGTAAGTAATGTAATCATCATTGTTCGACACACTCGGAGTATAACATAAAGAAAAGGAAAAAAAAAAATTTCTAAAACTTTTATGCTTCAAGCCAGCCAGTAATGGGGACCATTAAATTTTTCATAAGGTAATTAGTTAACGTTTTTTTATTATCCTTCATTTTGATCCGAAATATTTACTTCATCTGCACTATAGGATATGAAAATATCATACTTTTATTTATTGAGTTTCGTTAATATATTATTCAAGTTTATTATTATTTTCATTCCATTTTAATATTTATGCATCTCATCCTTATTTTCAATTATTTGAAAGGATGTGATAATTAAATCTTTTGAATCTACAATTATTTTTTTGTGTGTTTAGAAATTTAAAACTTAAACCTCAAGTTGATCGTATTATCAGCTATTATCTTCCCTTCATTNGATATTTAATTTATTTTGCAACTATATTTTATGGAGTAATAATTAATTATGCATAATTTAATCTTTTCTTTCTTTACAAATTAAAGTTTTTGTTTAACCAAATATAAATTCAGTGAAATTTAAATTAATAATGAGAATTTATCTTAATCTTATGAATAAGATTATATCATATATCCTTACATTAAAATTCTTAAATTTATTCAAAAAGATTTTAAATAATGTAATTTGAATCTTAAAAAAATTGCTTCCTCTAATAAGAAACTGATCTGAAATTTATTATAAATATGATAAAAAATTAAAGAATTTAAATTTATTTGATTATGCCACCCCAAAACTAATAAAAGGTTGGAGCAACATTTGACAAAGAATAAAAGTTCATTCTAAGTTCCTAATAGGTTTCTTTACAAAAAAGGAAGCAATCTGATCCTTAGGAGGTACTTTTTCATAGACGATGACATAATTGATCAGAATTCATCTGATAGAAGTTCTAGATCAGAAAGAGACTATGACTAAGGCTTTAATATTTGTCAGTGAAGATTGGCTGGGTAACTGAATAATGGTAGAGGTTATGGATGAAGCATGAGCATAAGCAACGCATAATACATGGGTATCAAACAGCTAACTGATAACAACTATCGCAAAGGGAAATCATCAAGATTGGAGATTATCATAGGGCAAGCCAGGGGAGACGAAACATGGGTGGTGTTTGTAAGTAATGTAATCATCATTGTTCGACACACTCGGAGTATAACATAAAGAAAAGGAAAAAAAAAAATTTCTAAAACTTTTATGCTTCAAGCCAGCCAGTAATGGGGACCATTAAATTTTTCATAAGGTAATTAGTTAACGTTTTTTTATTATCCTTCATTTTGATCCGAAATATTTACTTCATCTGCACTATAGGATATGAAAATATCATACTTTTATTTATTGAGTTTCGTTAATATATTATTCAAGTTTATTATTATTTTCATTCCATTTTAATATTTATGCATCTCATCCTTATTTTCAATTATTTGAAAGGATGTGATAATTAAATCTTTTGAATCTACAATTATTTTTTTGTGTGTTTAGAAATTTAAAACTTAAACCTCAAGTTGATCGTATTATCAGCTATTATCTTCCCTTCATTATAAAAAGTGAAAAAATCTTAATTTGCTTTTTTCCAAAATAGAATATATTGGATAAACTATAATTGAATCTTTATTGTCCATCTTATTAAAAACCAACCCTTGCATGAGACAAACAAAATAATCCATTAAAACTGGCTAATTTTATAATTTACAAATTTTTACAAAATTTTCTTATTTTCTTAATGAATCCAAAAACAAACATCAGAATCTATGTAAAAGTTTATGTATTCATATTATATTGTTACATTCTCTCCTGAAATTTGTAATCTTCCATTAGGCCAAATTGAAACATCTGCCATTTCTTTTACACTTTTACGATACATCATCAGTATATGCAGGATAAGTTTCTTGGCAGAATATACCATAAAGAGCTACTGATTCCTATTATACTCTTTATTTGCCTGAAATACAAACATGGAAGAATGATGTAGATATATCATTGTACCAGTCACCATTGTTGCAAGTATGTGGATTTGGAATCTCAAAACTTAGCTCAAATTGGATAGGAATTTATGGTTTCTGTTTCTGTAAACATCAAAAGTTTTTCTTTAAACAGTATAGTTGAATCTGAATACAATTCCTGACTCTTGCGAATTCATATGCTATGATGCCAAGATTGATAAACCGAGCCAATTATTATACCAATTAACATTGTATGTGTATCCCAAAACAAATTGAGAAGCATAACTGTAGGCTATATCACCACTCCAAATTCCAATCCATTACTCATATTAGTTTTTACTTAATTCAAATGATTATGGGCATTCAAAGTAGGGACTCTATATATTCTTAAGGCTAAATTGACATGAGAATTGGAAGGAGTTTGATAATTAATACTACATCTCTTAACTTAGTCTATGATGAATCACAAATTAATGAATTATCCATTTAACCATCTGTTCGTATGTTAGTAGTGCACCATCTGAATCCCAAAAGATTTCCCTTCAGAGATTGTTCCAACAAATTGTTCTTGCACTAAAATTTTAATTCCTTTTTAAATGTTTATTCTTTCCTCCAGTTACCCAAACTAAATAACTACTGCAAGCTGAACATGATAATCTAACAGTATCTGCTAAAAATCCATCAGTTAGGGAACTATCAAACCAGTATTGATTTATGAACTAACAATAAAAAAGTTTTTAATTGTTGTTCCTTAAGCTGATAGATAAGATTTATGTTATTAATAACCAGCTATCTTTGAAATTGCTATTAATACATTTTCTATGAAAACATTTCCTCAATTATCTACCAACACACCAATTTAAGCATTTGCCCATGTTATAAATCCTGATAATTAGTTTAAAGAAGGATTAGCACTAAATGGGTCATCTAATGCATCATTTTTATGAGATCCACATTGAGCCATCTTTGGAATCAAGTTTCCTATTCTGAGTCCTATTTTTCCTGTTGAATGAGCAGCATTATTAGTGAAATTCAATAATGAGACACCTGATGGACAAATATCAGCTGCAGATGCTACATCTGAAGGATTTGATTGAAATGCTAAATAGAATCCATACCATTCTGCTCCTTCAATTCTATTGTTAAAGAATGTGTTTTTAGGATTAGTAATCCAGAAAGCTGCTGCTGTTGAATCTGATTGATATAATTACTATGAGGATTTACAACAGCCATAAGATTGTGTTCAAAATGTTGTACATTTCATTACCATTCTAAATATAGATAGCATGACCAAAAATGTTGTAACAGATGTTATCTTAAACATCTAAGTGAGAAACACTTCATAATCCTATGCAACGAGCGTTAGAATCATGGATGGAATTGCTTCTAATATATGAGTTTGAAACGACTCCGTTGTTATTGAAATTAATTGGGAATATATTTAAATATCTTTATTCGCCTCCATTTACAATTTCTACATTTTAGATTCTTACTTATGGCACTGTTAGCATTAGTTGTTATGTTAAATACAAAAGTGGTTCTAACTTAAACTTTCCGTATCTTTAGAAAGTAATCTATAGTTGTTTTCAGCAATTAATTCTAATTTTGTATTATCTATTGAAGAGGGATTTCTATTCAATTCAACAGTTGTTCTATCATCAGAAGCTACATAGAATCTATATTATCCTGTTTTTGGTGCTTTGAAGAATCCTTTGAATTATCAGTTGTAATAATTTCCATAAACATTTTAAACGTCTGGTTCTCCAATAGAATCATTTTAATAAACTGTATTTGCCCACCATCTTTTATATCCAAGACCACTTCCATCGACATATGCTTCTCTTTGAAAAGTGATATTGAAAAATTTAACAGTAATAGTTGATCAATCATTTCCAATTACCACTGTATTTTTTAATTAGAGTTGTCTTCCAACATAGACTTGGACTTAACATGTTCCATATCCAAATCCAAGACCATATATATTTAACGTACCTCCCTTCTTTGATAAGACTTTTGTACTTAAACCTGTTATAACTATAATTGATTCATATGTATCTGTAGATGTATTTATTATTATGATACAGACACACGGTTCATTTGATTATTATTGACAGTTGATATATAGATTGGATATGTGTCTGCAACACCATCAGTAGGTACTTAACATTTAAGGAATAGCAGCAGAGGCTGAACGGTAGGATGCACTTGTTATGATGACAGAAACTGAAGTTTTGTTTTTGTAGATTTGCTTTAAACTTGAAGTAATTACTCTCTGCCACAAAATAAACGAAGAATAATGCTAAAGAAAGATAAATTTACATGTAAATTAAATATTGAATATATGGTAGTGGTTAATCCCTTAAATAGTTAAACGAATCATATTTTTATAAATTTAGATTCGTTTTTTTCTAGAAAAGTCTTAATCAATAGCATCCATATCATATTTTACAGTTTCTATCTAGCATTTCTTTTACAGATCATTGTTTATGCAAAAAAACTATCTTGGAATCCTATTACTGAAGTGATTTTCTCATTGTTTTCATAATCCATATTTATTCATGTTAACAGGTGTCAACGTTTTTACTTTATTATATAATATCAAATATTCATGTTTTATCTAATCTTCTTGGGTGTCTTTCTTTATCATGACTTTTCTTTTTTTTAGGAGCTTGTTTATCTTCAGTTTGATCTTTGTGATTTTATTCATCATATTCAACATCCCCAGTTTTTCCAATTGTTTTTATTTTTTCATTATTTGTTGGTACCTACTTCTGTGCAGTATTATTTAAATTAGTCTTCGGAGTCTACACTGGTAGAGTATTGATTTTATCTTCTATATGGAAATTCTTAATCTAAGTTTTAATGTCTTGAATATGCCCATAATCTTTTTCTACATCTTATAAATATATTTTAATATGTTCAGCAATTTATTAAGTAGGTGGAAATATATCTTAGACTCTCTTTAAAAATATTAAAGCATTTCGAACCTAATATTAAACTAATTACAAATACCTATATCTCATTATTTTTCAAAATTCTGATGAACGAAGCCATTTTAAAAAATATATTTTAAATAATATACTGCTTTTCTTTATCATAACCCTCTATAGTTGTGTCAAAATAGTTTTTCAGGTCATTCTTAAACTTAGTTTCATCATTCCAATTAGCATATGGTATGATCAGTTATTAAATAAAAATACTCACATTTGATGCCTCCTCTTCAGTTGCACACTATAAATATGTAAATGTAAAATATATAATTTCCTTAGGTACATAGAAGGTATAAGTATATCTAGGTTTACCAATTTATAACATTTTTTGTACAAACTTTGCACAATATATTGCTTCTGCTGGATCTATCAAAATTCTTGGTAACAAACACGCTTATGATAAACATTAAGCAAATTTGATATGATAATTTTCTTTTGCTTGATCAACTTCTTTGAAACTGAAAACTTGTTTTTTGTCTCTCAAAAATTTATCAAATTGTTCTTATCGTTTTATATTATTGTCTAATTCATTCTATAATTTTTCAAATGCCTTCTAATTTTATTTGCTTTATCTGTCTTTTGTATCAGGATTTTTATTAATGTTTTCTTACAACCATTTTAATTATTAATCATAAATAGCTTATGGAACATAAATATTATCTAAACTTAACAGCCAAAATATTGCAAAAAATTCAGGATTGATAATTGTCCACAAAATATCTTTTACATAAGTATGACATATTAAAGGCAATTATGGTAATTACTAATTGTTTATGTCTGGATTGATATACATTATTTTAGGATCAATCTTATCATATATGCTTTTAATATTTTCTACTTCTTCTTAAAATTCCTCCTCACTCATATTATACAAGCTTTTATAACTATATCTCACAATATGAAAAGCTATCTCAAAAGGTAACTTGAAATCTATGACCATTCTTTCAATGGGGTTTTCTGGAAATAATTAAGCATAATGAGTTGGTTTGTCTGTTTAAAACAATAAGCATTTAGTAAGTTAATTTATACTACAAGTAAAATTGTCATATAATGCTGCCAAAGGTTTCAAATTTTAATTATGATAATTTAAGATAAATCTAGACCTCTGTTAACATAATACTACTAACATCAAAAAAGCCAATGAAACTACTTCCTCTTAATTATTTTAATTCAAAATCTTTTGAGAATTAATTGTTTATGACCAAAAGAACTACTCTAAAGCACTTGAACTTTTTCTTGATCTTCTAAATTCATTAGTTTATGAAGTGGTTTCAAGTTATATATATCTTCCTCCTGCCAAAGCTTAGATTTATTAAGGTGTAAGATCTTCAATATGAACAATACCTGTCATTTTTTCAATCAATTCCCTTAAAATTAACATTTCTGGTTTTATTATAGATTCATTTTTCGAGATTTATTAATTACTTTGATAAGTTGAAAACACATCTATCAAGTAGGCAAATAACCCTTGCATATCAATTGTGTAATATTTTCTAAGCAAACTTGCTATGAAATATGCAATATTCTTAAACCAATATCGACATTCAATATCTTTATCTCTCACCTTTGATTCATCATTGTAATCACACAAGCATTAAATTAGTATAAATTATAATATATCCAAAGATAAAGGAGTGGCCAATCCTAAAGCATGAACAATCACAAAATTATTATCTGGAGTATCTAATCTATTTCTCCTTAAATCATTCATTACAATCATAGGTTAATTGTGTGATAGTTTAGCAAATTTTATCATCATTTTCTCTTTATTATCCTTATCAATTTTATTAAAGAAATTTCTTATGTGCTCTTTAGTTAATTATGCTGCTCGAATTGTCTAATTGATTGTTGAGAACTAATGAATATCTTTCCATTTTGAATAACAGTCAAATCTTTTTCGAAAATCTAATTATCCCAAAAATTTCCATAATTCAATAACAATTGCTAAGCATTCCCCACTTTATATACCCGGAATTAAATGATCAAGGATTAATGGTTAGACATCAGGATTTTATGAATTTATCAATACTTTACATAATTTATGAAATACTAAAGGATATTCACCAATGTATGGAGAAAATATTGTAAGTATTTCATTTAATATTGAGATTGCATCTTCATCAATAATAGTTAATTATTTTATCTAAAATGCTGTAGTACAATTTGGATCATATACAAACTATATAGTTAAATGATAAAATTACCTTTTTTTGTTCTCTAGATCTACTCTTGAATAAAGTTTTGTTAAAATATTACTCATGTAAAGGATCAATCATCCACTCAATTAGATCAGCCAAACTACTTTTTATAGGTAAAAATATTGTAAAGTCTATGATTCCTTCAAATGATTTATATAACTCTTAAAATATATTGAATGCGTTTATGTGTATTAATCCTTACATCAACCATAATTTTTAATTATCTATTTTAATAATATTTATTTACATAATTATTGCCCAAATAAATCTTTCTTCAATTTTTCTGATTAATCATTGTTATTTCTTTAATCTCTTTATCCTTCTATTTGCATGAGTTTATCAAAAGACTTATAACATTTATAACTTTCATCTGCTAAATCTTCAAAGATTTTTGAAAAATCTTAATCATTTGGTTATAAATATTTCCAAATATTTCCAACTTCAAATAATTTATATTTTAAAGCAGTTGCTGTTATTATAATCAATTTATGATCTGGAATTTTCTAATCTGTTTACAAAACCTAAGCAGCATTAGCCATTTTAGTCATTAAAATACTAATATTATTGTTATTTGAGAGAGTTTAAACTATTGATTCAAATCTTTTGCCTAAAAATTAACAAACAGATATGCATTTAAATTATTTCAGAATTTTGACATATGATAAACTATATGGATATTCTATCCAACTTTGAATGATAATATCAACTACTCTGTCTGGATCCAAATCAAAATATCCAATTAAATGAATAATATTTTCAATTCTTTATTAAATTTCTTCATCATAAAAATCAGTGTGTTTTGATGCATCTAAAATTTCAACCATCAATTTGCAATAACCTTCATTTTCATCCTTCATAGACCAAAATTTATTTTGACAAAAATTAATATCTGTGTTTATTTTCCTTTTTCTTTAAGAAAATGTATCTTATTAAACAAATCCACATTCCCATAATACTTCTTCATCAAAATTATCAAAAAAAATTTATTTTTATGTTTATGTCAATCTTTCTGCTAAACTTTACAATAATTAGATTAATAGTTTTCTTGAATCAGACATTTATTAAATCACCATAGTACATAGATAGAGATTTTCTAATAGAATTGTAAAAGAAGATTCATTTTACTAACCACTAATAAATATATTTATTACTTAGATGTTTCTAAAGAATTGAATAACTTTGTCTAATGGTATTTTTTGCTTTAAATAAAAATCAGATAAATATTGATATATGAATTTATTCTTTCTTCTTGGATCACTTACTGTAAAGTAATTGATAGTTCTAAATGTATAATTCAAAAATTCACCTTTCAACATCATTGATTAGCTCTTAAGTGATTAATAATATATCACTCATTGATATAAATTAAATAATAAATATATATATAAATTAATATTATCATTTTAATGCTGATAGAAGTATTACTTCTGAATCTCTAAATCTTTAGTTCATCGAAGAACAATTTAAGACAACAATTATAGCTTCTAGATTATCATTTTTATAATATCCTGTAAAGCATGGTCCAGCATTTGGAGTAACACCTGTCTTTACTCCCATCCAACCAGACTTTTTAAGTAACTTATTTGTATTTTTCCATTTATAATAAGTTGATTTATTTCCCTTATCAGTTAAAGCATGAGTCTTATAAATTTTGGTTGTAATGATCTCTAGAAACACATCTAATTAAATACATTTCTCTATCAATTTACTAATTAATATTTTAAATAAATTTACCTTATATCATGAGGACATGATACATTCTTTTCATCATTCAAACCATGAACAGAGGAATAATTAGTATTTTCCATTTTAATAACACTTGCATGTTTATTCATTTAATCAAGGAATGTGTGCTTAAGTTATTTTTTATTTCTTTCAATTTGTGGTTCGATATCGATTATCGCTCCTTTCAGAAATCGATTATATTAATAGATTTCTGTCTTTTGTAATATCATTAAATAAGCTATTGTGAAACTTAAAACAAGTGCAGCATCATTTCCTGATGGTAACATAAGAGCAAATAACAATTGTTTAATAGTTAATACTCCACCAGCATTTAAAAAGGCACTAGTTCCATCAATACATTCAGCATGACCGGGAATTTTAATTTTAATTTGATCAGGCTCAATATTATATTCTTTTAAATATGTCAATGTTGTATAACATGTCATAATCTTTGTAATACTAGCTACTTCACCTTTTTAATATTCTTGCCAACCAATTTGTTTAGTAAAACAATTCTCATTCTTTTATTTCGTAAACAAAACCCATCTTTTAGCACTTACTTTATGTTTGATAGAAGGAATTGCTTAATGAACTGATAATGATACAGTTAATTTATTTGGGAAGATTTTTTTAGTCATTAAACTAGTTGCAGTTTTGATTACTTTCTTAGGCTACCTTTAGGCTAATTGAGATTCTACTAATTAATCAATATTATGAATTACTAGATTAAGGTTCTTTTTATTGACTCTGTGCATAAACTCTCATTCTTTCTCTTATCAATTATGCTGGTAAGTTAGGCAAAGTAGGTTAAGGATTTATTGAAATTTGTTGTTCTGAAAATTCTTCAGATTATATTGTTTATCCGTTAGCATACTTATTCTTTTTCTCTTCTTAAGCTATCATATGTAATGCATCTAAGTAAGTGTCCACAAATACATAGTCAGATTAATTTTCATATCTTCTCTATATCCATAAATAAAACTGAATTATACATTTGCTTTTTTCATAGGATCATTTAACAAACATTGTGTATCATGTACATAAAATTTTAAAACATGAGGAGATCTTTTAGGAGATGCTTTAATTTTTGCACTCTACAATCCTCTAACCTTCAATTCAGGAAGTGGAGTAGTAGGAGCATCACTTAATTAATTACATCCACTTGTATTAGCCATTTGAGAATGAACACTTTTTCGATGAAATTTTGATAACGAAACTGAGAATGCATCCTTCGAGTTAGCATTCATATTATAATATTAAAATATTATATTGTAAAATTAAAAATTATGATTACCAAAAAACTTTTTAATCTCATAAATACTTTTAAAAAGCCTGACTAATTCATATTCAAAGTAGGAGAAAATTTGATTTTTATAATATAAATAAATTTTTATTTTTTTTATCTAAAATATATTCATTTTAATCATTCTCAATCATTTTACTATATCTAAATTGTTAATTAAGCAAATTTTCATTTATAAATTTACTTTCAATTAATCTTACTTTCTTAAAACAGAAAAAAACTTAAAATTATATTTTAATAATAATTCAAATAACTATTATTATGCGCTCTGATTTAAAATAAATTTAAGATAGCTGTTAAATTTGTAATAAATAAGATGCAGAATTATTAAGATGTTCTTAATGCAAATCAATTTATTATTGTTCTATAGAATGTTAAAAAAAAGATTGGAAAGATCATAAATTTATTTGTTCTGAAATTGTCTTAAAGTAATAAAGAGAAAAGTAAAGAACAGATAGAAAAGCATAAGGGAAAAAAGCAATAGAAAATTTTGCAGATTTTGAAATTTTTGGCCATGGAAACTTTTCAGATATTTTTAGGGTTCGAGAATTGAAACTAATTAATTATATGCAGTAAAATAAATTAATAAAAGAAAATTAACTTAAGTAAATAAGGAAAAAGATATTTTTATGGAAAAACATTTTTTAAGCAAACTTAATGAAAACCCCCTTATGTAATTAGATTATATTCCACATTCCAAGATAATGAAAATTTATATATGCTTATGTAATACATTGATGGAGGAGAATTATGGTTACAAATTCATAATTTTGGAGCAAGAGCATTTCCTTTATGTATTTATTATATTACAGAAATTCTCAAAGGTAATTAAACCAATTTTATTAAGCTATAAATTCAATTCATAAATAAGGGATAGTTCATAGAGATATAAAAAGTGAAAACATATTATTAACTTAAGATAAAAAAATAAAATTTATAGATTTTGGAACTGCAAAAGATATGAATGATCTAACCATAGAAGGAAGTGGAAATGGTAGAAAAGGTAATCAAAAATTAATTATATTTATAGGTAAATAAATTTTTAAACATTTTGTTGGTACTCCACAATTCATGGCTCCTGAATGTATAAGAGATAAGATTCTAATAAAAAATCAGATATATATTCTTTGGGAGTGCTATTTTATGATATAGTTTTTGGAAAGTATCCATTTGATGGAAAGAGTGATTATTTGGTGTTTTAATAAGCATTAGAGACAGAATTAAAATTACCTGATGATGGGTGGATAGACAATTAATAGTTTAGAAGTCTCATCAAAAAGATGATGCAAAAAGATCCTTAGGATAGACCAAGTCTAATTGAAATTATGGAGGATTAATTATGAGGTGATAATTTTAATTGGAATATTCAATAAGGTATAATTATTGTTTTTAATAAGACTATTAGTCCATATTTAATGGATTAAGTGATATTGATAAATTTACATTTGATTTTGCATAAGAATTAAATAATGCTGAAACATTAGAAGATAAAATTTCAGTTAAGTTTGAAGTAAATAAAGTGATAGGGAAATATGAAAGATTAATATTAGATGAAGATTACTAAAAGAGATTTAATTATATGAAATAAATTATACAATAGAATTTGGAAAACAAAAAAGATGATGATGATGATGAAGAACCTAAATAATTCAGATGATTATATGAAATACAATTTATAAATAAGAGAATCACTATATTCTAAATTATTTTCTTTGATTTGAGAGAGATTTAACTTTCAAATCTAATTGTTAAGCTTCTTATCTAATTTACACGTAATTTCGAACAAGCTTTTCATTTTATTAATACAATTGTTCCAATAATTGTAATTATTAATCTGTATTTCCTAATTAGTAAAATTTATGTCTTTAAACTCGACTATTTTCAATAATGGAAAATAATGAATGTCGGAGACTATTTAATTCTTAATTTTCATTCTTCTAATAACTTTCGTTATTTTGAACTTTAAACTTTGCATATCTATTTTGAGATTATTCATAATTAGATTAAATTTTATCAACGATTTCAATCTTAATTTTATTTTATGGAAGATTAGTATGCAATTTGATTTGTTTTGACTATTCCTCTTCTTCTTCAAATTATGTTGAAACAAGTAATGAATTTTTGGAAACCATATTGGAAATAGATCGAGTTCGCTTATACTCAATTTAAAATTACTTTTGAAGTTAATTTAGTTTATGGTTCCAATTTATTTTAACTTAATGAGCTTTTACGTCTATTATCTGTATTGAATCTGTAATGTTTTTATTTTACACTATTATTTGATAACTTTTTGATAAGTTCTGCAGTTTATTAATTAAGTGATGGCACATTTTTTGTAGTATTTTTTTGATTTCTAGCACTTGGAGTTCTTGATTGTTTAATTGATGGTAATTTTAAATGTTTGTAAATTTAAGGAGATATTAATTGATTTGATTATAAAGGTGATATATTTTGTTGAGTATTTCTAACCTCAACAGAACGATCAATAGATATTCTGATTCTGTTATTGTTTGAATCTTATCTCCTTTGCATTAAATATTTATTAATAAAATATATACATTTTTCGGACAATCACTGACCAGTGATACCTGGTGATCTCTATAAACAATATTTAGAGACATTTGAGATTTAATGAATTAAACAAATTATTTTAATAAAAATGCATCACTCTGTTAAAGAAGCTAATTACAGTGTTAATTAAGTTGAATGTGAAATCCTTTAACAATATTTAGGATAACCTTAAGCTTAATCTTTAATGTATAACATTGTTATCAATATACTTCTAGATAGTAATTTGCCAAGTCTTCTGAATTTAACATATTAGTCACACCATCTGGATTAGTAGTATAATGTTGTAGTAATACAAATGCAATTAAGAAATATGGTACTCTTTAAATGTCTAAAGGAACACATATATGGGAAATTATTGCAATATATGATTGTGGTTAGATGCAAGTATATATTGGTTAAAATTCAAGATTGGAGTAAGTACAGTCAGCAAACCAGGACAAGAGAAAAATTATCTTTAATCATTTACAGCAAGTACTATTAGAACAATCACAGTTATTCTTAATATTGAATTAGGAGAAGTTAATTTTTATTTGAATGGAAATCATAATTAAAAAAAAACACTTACTATAGAAAAGAATGCTACATATATTCCTCTAATATAATTTACTCCACATGGAAAAGTTGCTGCTTTAAATCCATTTGCATAACATCCAAATCTAAATTATCCAAGAATTAAATGTTTACCTCTCAATTTATTTACATTAAAAAATGAATTTTAAATACCTACTTTAGATTTTGCAGAAAAATTGGCTTAAATTTAATTTAAAGAATTCAATTGTGATTCCATTATTAAAATTGCAAATAACTTTATTTATTTCCACAATAATAAAATCAAGTTGCTTAGACCTAAATTAGGTAAATCAAATATAGATGAAACATAATTAATTAATATATTTGCAAATAGACCAGAAACTCCTTAATCTTTAATATTTATTAAATTAATCAAACAACATTATTAATTAATCTCAGCATCTTTTACTTGGAAAAAATCATTAGAAAATGGATAAACTAATCAAAAAATGATTGAATAATTTCATTATTATTGGATATAAGCTAAAGAATATGATAACTAAGTTTTTATTTAAATTCCATATATTTTAATGAAATAAATAGTTCTTTCATAATTAGAAGAATTTGAATAAGATTTTGGTCGTGTTTTGAGAATTGATGAATAAGTTGAAAGTTGTAAAATACTAAAAATAATCAGAATTTTATTAGAAATTGATGAATAATTATATGCAATGACATTAAACAATTAAATATTTGAAAAGTTTAATTCTACTACATCTTTTAATTTAGTACCTAGAATATTTTCTTAATTTCATAGATTACACACTTTTTTAGATTCAAATAATTACCCCTATGATATTATATAATTAACAGAATTAGGATTAATGAAACTACCAGGTTTTTCAAATTAATTTAGACATTTTACAAATTATAGAAATTAAATTGAACCAATAACTTATAAGAATGATTTATTCGGAATATTGCCAGCTGAAAAAATTTATAGTTATATAGATATTCCTTTAGCATTGACAATTAATAATATTCCTTATGTAGATTTAGATGATAATTTTTAATTGGTAAAATCATTTAATGATTCAATTTATTTCACTCTTATAAATGAAGAAGGATTAATTTAAGTTTGGAATGGAGAATTAAGTTTACATAGATGCTTATAATATAATCTTAGATCATTTGAAGAAAAAGTAGAAGATTAAAATTCGTTAGCTCCTTTATTTGCTGAACCTTAATAAGAAAATAATGCATCTTCAAATATTGAAAATCAAGATAGTCAAAGTGAAGAAGCCTAAGAAGTTATTGTTCCGAGTGAAGAATTGTTAGATTAACTCTATAATATGGGATTTTCAATTGAAGCTTCAAAATAAGCATTGATAGAAACCAAAAATAAAATTGAAGAAGCTATTGAGAAAGTTATAGTTATTGAAGAATAAAAAACAAAAGAAAAATTATAATAATAATCATAATAAAAAGAAGTTAAATTATCCAAATTAAAACCATATTGGACTTGTAAAGAATGCACCTTACTTAATTCAAATGAATATATTAAATGTTAAGCATGTTATTCTGAACCTCCTTAAGATGCATTCGAAAAAGAAGATATTATCGTTATCTAAGAGTAAATATCAGAATAGTAAACTGATGTTATAGAGGAAAAGAATGAGAAAGTTTAGGAGGATAACAATGAAAAATTTAGAAATATATTCAAAACATCTAAATTATCAAATTTTATTCAAATCAATCTTTAAAAACCATTTAGACATTTATTATTTGCCCATAATTTTACTACTGAATAATAATCTTATTTAGTTTTGAATAGGTTTTTTCAAAATATCAAATATTTAGGTTAATTTTTCAGAAGTAGTAATGAAGGAATTTATTCAATTTTATCAAATAAAACTTATTAATAAATTGAAAATTTTTAGAATTTATTAAAATTATTAAATGAAGGAGAAAATAGTAGATTTATTTATGAAACCTTATATCCAGTTTTAACAGTAATTGTTTATTAAAATTATTTAGTAATCAAAAGAAGAATTTGAATTTAAAGACTAAATTATTTTACCAATAGATGATATAATAACAAACCTATACTTTTAAGATGATAAACTTTTTATTTAAGGTGCTACAAAAGTTTATGAATGCTCTTTATTTGATGGTAAAATATAATTCTTATAATCTTTAGGAGAAAGTTATGAACCAAAATTATAATTAACCTAAAAACAAGAAAAAGCAGCAATTAAATAATAAGAAATATAGTAAGAAGAAACTTAAGAGAAATAATAAGTAAATATATAATAATAAAATGATATTGTTGAATCTTTGGATGATTTAACTAAATTAACCCCTGAAGAAATTTCAGATTTAGCAAAGTTGAATGAACATTAGGATGTATACTTTTAACCAATTAGTACAAATCCTATGCTTTTATCATAAAAAAAAGGAGAATCCTGGGCTAATATAATAGTAGATATTAATTAAAAAAGTTAAAATTAAATAGAATTACATTTATCTAAATAGTAACAAATGATGAAATTGTTAGTAACAGGATTCAGTGATAAAAAATCTACTTTTAAATCAGAAGGATGGGTATCTATTGATGGATTAAAACCTGAGAAAGATGATTAATTACCATTAACTATTTTCAGTCATAAAGGATCTTAATTTAATGTTTAGTAATGTATATCAAAAATATGTTTTGTTTAATAAGAAATATTTTCTACAGTTTATTCAAAACCAGAATTTATATTTAAACATTTACATGGAAGATTAATGAGTTTTTCTAAATTTTCGATTGCAAGTCCAAATAAATTTTAAAATACTGGAGTTCCTTTAGGATCTGGATTGATTTTTATAGGAAATAATGCTAATGATTTTTAATTTTGCTAAAAATTCTAAAATTTTAATAAAGAAAATTATCAATTATGGTTATAAGAGAGATAAAAAGATGTTAGACCTTTAAAACCATGGGAACCAGTAGCATTTTTTGAATTAGGACCAAATGAAGAATAAATAACATTTAATTTAGAAAATCCAAAAATAGGAAAATATATTTTATTAATGACTCTATCAGCAAAACAGACTGATTAAGTGAAATTTGAATAAAATCCTCTCACTTTGAATTATTTTGTTGCATATGGCACTGTTGTAAAAGAAAACTTAGGAGAGTAATTGATTTAAAGTTAAGAATCTTTTGAACATTTTAAAGATATTACTTTGAAAGTAAATGATAATGTTTTGGATAAAGATTAATGTTAATTTAGAGAAGATACTTATGGTAATTATAATAAATACATATGTGAAATACCTGCTTCTTTATTATCAAATGTTTAAAACATTAAAATTGAATTAAAAGAATCTTAAATAAGTTTTCTTTAAATTACTGGACTTAAATAGAAAGATATTAATTAAAATCTTTTATAAAAATTACCTTAAGCTTATTAAATAACAAATTTGATGCATGATGTTTCAAAATATCATGAATTCAATTAGAAATTAATGTAACTTATTCATAACATTAAAGCATCTTAATAATAAAGATTCAGTGCAATTAAAGTTTTGTGTAAATTATTCTAAAGTATTCCTCAATTTGTAAACATATGTTATAAAGACTTAAATATATTAGAATTTATTAAGTTAAATTTATTATCATAGTAATAATAAGAAGAATCTTGTGTTTAAACATTCTTTTAATAATTTTTGACAATACCTGAATTTAATGGTTAATTAGTAAAAGCAGTAAAAGATATTATTAATAATATTTTTACATTATCAGATATAATAAAACCAACAGGATTTATTTAATTACTTTAGATGTTGAAGAAATATGCTTCATTAGATTCAAAAGAATATTATCCATATATTTTAAGTCATTTAAAATAAATTGCAAAGTTTATTCATAAAGTTGATTCAGGTCATTTCAATAAGTTAAATTAATTATAAATTTTCTTGATGTTAACTGAGGAGTAACTATTTTCTGATAGATATTATAAATTAACTTAATTTTTAGAAGATACTCCATTAATATCTTAAGTTTTAGGTGAAGTATAAAAATAGATTGAAATAAGTAATAAAGAAAAGGTAGACTCTGATAAACCAAATAATTTGATAGACATAGATATTAATATAAAGAGACCTCTTTATTCAATAATAGTATTTTCAAGATAAGCTCATTATGATGAATATGTAATTGATCTATTATGTTCATATGACATTCATTAATTTTAATTGGTATTCAATACTCCTCAGATAAATTGTAGAGTAGTAAGAGTGACTTTATTTAATGGTTAAAATAATTAACCTATTTTGGATGTTACATTACCAGATTGGTTGTTAGTTTAATTAACTAAATATGCTGATTAACATTCATCAAATATGCCTAAAAGTAAATTAAATATAATGTCATGGAATATTAAGGCTTAATAAGTGAGAACATTAAAATTACAAATAACATATTCATTAACTGCAGCCACTAGAACAAAAGAAGAGAATAATATTGCTCCTAAGGAATTATGTATAATTCCATAATTCAAAGGATAATTAAATTAACAATCTGAAAAATAGGTATAAACTGAATTATCATTCACTATTGAAGGAGATTTTGTTTTTGAAAAGGAGATGAGCTTTCCTAACTCTTTGAAATACTAAAAATACATCAATTAAGGAGCTATTTATTTGGATTCAGCCAAAGTTTTAGGATTGAAACAAAAATAAATAATCTTACAAATAAAAGAGTCTAATAATTCTCATAGTTCTCATACTTAAATATAATCATAATATTTTAGGGCTTTGTTGGTTTAAAAATAAAAAGAGTTAAAATAAAAACTATAATAGAATTAGGGTAAAGAAAAGTTATAAGATACAATTTAAATAATCAGAAAATTATAGCTTGAATTAATTCAAGATCCAAATTCAAGTCTTAATTTAAGTAAATCTTTAGACTTTTTGTATACATATGCTTATGAACTGATTAAAATATTAATTCATGCTGATTCTACATGTCAATAATGGAGATCAGATATGGCTTTAAGAGAATAAGAAGGATTAAAGATGGCTTAATTAATATATAAAACTTTTGTATAAGTTAACCAAGGTCCAATAACAGATTTGAGTTTCTAATTACTTAATATTATATTGAGTAATTTAAACTTAAAATATTGGATTCTATTTACTTTTGCTTAATATCAAAAAATTGATTCAGATGCTAATATTCTCAATACTTTAAAAGTTCTTCATATTCCAATTTGTCAAACTATTATGTATGTTTCAATAATTTTAAGTGAAAAATAATAAATAAAATAAGCTCAACAATTAATTGGTTTAGTATTAAATAAATTGGTAGATAAATAGTTCAATAATAAGGAATTAGTAGATCCTTAAATTTAAATTAAACCTTTAGGAACTCTAAGATCAACAAGTAGTTAAGATTTAGAAATAGGATAGGTAGAAAAATTAACAGATGAATGTTTTGAATTAACAAAGTAAAAGGTTTTTTCAACTCTATTTTGTATAATGAAATGGACTTTATAAAATTAATAATAATATCAAATTTAAGATATTTAAAACCTATTTCTAAAAACATGTAATGTTCTAATGAAATTAAATAATGATGAACTCATTCATTTTGTAACTGAAATTACAAATCCTACTGATCCAACATAATCAGGATTATTTTAATTATTAGCTAATGCAATACAATCAAGTGATTCTAATACTATTTTGAATTAAATTAAATAGGTTATAGAAAAGTTATGTACTTAATAAACATATAAACTAATATTTTATTTCTTCTAAATAATATTGAATGCGATAGTAAAATATGCTAATGAAAATATTTCTATCTTTATACATCCATTAGATAGTTCAGCTTGGTTTTCATTTTTATCATTTGTAGTTGGTTAATTATTATTACTTTAGAATATGAATCTAAGCTAAGGTGAACAAAAATAAAATCAAAGAAAAAGATCTGTTAAATATTAAGCTGCTTAAACCTATTAGGAATTTTCAGAAAAATTAGATGAAGGAGGTTTTGTTCAAATATGCAATATTGAAACTGTTTCATAGATGATTAAATTTTTAATTGAACCAAGAAAGAATTTACTTAATAATGAAACATTAGAAAATTCATTAACTTATTGGGGATTATTATTAAATTTGATGAGTAAAATTCCAACTTAATTAATTATGGAGCACAAAATATATGATTAATTATTATCAATATATTTGAAATTAGATACAAATAAATAAGCAGTAATACAATTTAGATTTATTGAAATGACAAAATCAATTTTAGAACATACTTAAAGTACAGAATTTAATAGTAATTTAATAAAATAAATATTTTAATATTAAGGAACAACATTGATAGATGGATTATTAAATATAGTGGCATCTTAAGAAAGGAAAATAAATGCTCAAATATTTAAATTGATATTTTCTGAAACTGCACAATATCTATATAAATATTGTAATATTGGAAGACATGATGGTGTATATAGTTGTGAATTATCATTATTGAAAAAGCTATAATTTGGAAATAAATTATTATAATTAATGAAAAAGGCAGAGTGTCCTATAAAATTATAAATACTAATATAGGAAATACCATAATATGGTGAATTAATAAAAAAATATATTCATTGGTATATGCTTAATAAATCAAATATTCCTAATGTAACTCCTGCAACTGAGATTTTAGGAAGCATCAGTAAACATGTAAGATAGATATTTGATTGGTTATAAGCAGATTAATAATTAGCAACAGAATCATTAATATAGTTGTTTAAGTTTTAAAAAGAATTTGATATAGTAATTTAAGAATAGGTGAATTAAATGACAAATATATTGAGTTATTCATTAATAAAACATACTTAAGAAATTTTTGAAGAATTAAATGAATTATGGATGATTACTGATTAAGTAGTGAGAGAAATAGCTATTAATGGAAATGGTTTTGAATACTTGTTAGAAAAAACACATTTGACTTCAACTACTTTTGAAGAAAAGAGTGAGGCAAGTGAATAACAACCTTAAGAAGAAGAATTTGCTAATAAATTATTGATGATTGAATCGTAGAAATAACCAGGGTAACCATAATAATAGGTTAAGGATTGGTAAGTAAATAAAAAAGGAGTCAAAGCTAAAGTTCATGTTTTAACTCTAAAAGATGAATTATCTGAAGATTATATTCTTGAATTCTAATTAGAGAAATCTATTGAATTAAAATAAATTAAAATTGGATTTTAAGCATACACTCCAGAATACAATGATAGAATTTTAGGTATTCCAGATATAGTAGTAGTTGAAGTTAAGAACAAGACTTCAGATAATTTATGGTATCCAATAGGTATTATGACTTTGATTGAAGATGAAGCATATACATATTATAGTGTTAAAGTTATGGCTTTAAATGTTTGGAGATTAAATGCTTAAGGAACTTTAAATCAATAAATTAAATCATTAGTATAATAACCTATTACTTATATTAGATTTATTATGAAAAAGCCACAAATAACATTTTTAGAGTAGATTTCTTAATTGTCATTTAAACAATACAATAATATTTAAATAGGAGTGAGTTTCATTTCCATTACAGGTTATGATTCATCAATTAATAGAAATAAATAGATATAAACTATTTAGGAGAAAACTGCCAGTAGATTATTAGGCAAGATGTGTTCATAAAAATTTAGAAATACATTATTTGATATCAGTAATAATTAGAACATAATTTAATAAATAAAAAAGAGCTTTAAAAATATTAGTTTAGCATTACATTCGAATGAATCTACACTTTCACCATTGTTTATAGGATTGACTAAGTATAATCCAGAATTTGGAGATTGGGTATTAGATTAGATTATGGATATTACTTTAGAATGGGCACATGCTAAATTAACAGCAGAAATTGTTTTATAAGATAAGGATAAATAATTAGATAGGTTAAAGAAATTTTTAAATTACATTTTGAATTAAATAAAATAAATTGGTTAAATTGCTAAATCTTAAGATTAATTTACTCAGCTTACTCTTTTAATTGAAGCCTTAACTTATGCAATACTTATTTCAAGCAAGTAAAATAGCAAAGAACCAATATTATTAGATGTGGAAGAAGAAGACTTTTAAAATATTCTATAGGCAGTAGAAGTGACAAGTTAATCATATGAACATTGTAATATGATAATTAGATTATTTATCACTCTAATTAAATTGCCATAACCATATGTGTTAAATATGTAATTATAATAAACTGGTTTATCAGATATGACATAATAATTATTGCAAAAGTCCCCTCTATATAAATTAAAATTGTTGTCTATTTTAGTATAGATTAGCAATGATGTTGTTAATCTAATTAAACCACATATACCTAAAATCTTTGAATAAACAATAGAATCATTGAAAAAAACAGATAACACAACTATGTCTGATTACTTTTTCTTTTTTGATTCATCTGCTAATGTTACAGAACTTAAAGAATTTTATTGCGCAAATAATTACCATTTATAAGTTTATGACAATTTGAAAGTATCAAACCCATCTAAAACATTATTAAAATAAATTGATTAATTAACATTGAGTCATATCGTTAATTTTATTGGTAAGATAACATTATCAACATCTCAAGCAATTAGTTAATTAGCTTCAAAATTGATTTATGATATTCATTTATTATCACAAATTGTAGATATTAATTATGTTGAAAATGTACTTATACCTTTATTAAATTTTGAAGAAAAAGTTGATTTTACAATTGATATTTGGGATAAAGAGAGTTAAATTTTTGTGGGTGATATAAGAAAATTAAGTTCCCTTCATATTTAAGAAGATGAAACTAATGAAACTAGTGGATCATATGAATTGAATGGATTTTAAGCCAAAGAATTCACACCTTAATATTATGATGCTTTATAATCAGCTATTCAAAAAGTTATTAAAACCAATTCTCTAAAAAAAGGAGGAAGATGGGTTAAGGAAATGGAATTATAATAAGGAGGCTCATATTTCCATAAAACATTATCAACTCTATAGAAGGGACCATTTTTAATTTTATTATTTGGAAAAAATAATAATCAAAATGAAAATTGTATTATTGGATTATTTAGTACTTAAAAATGTGGTACTTTGGTTAGTGAATTTTAACATGATTATTATCCAGGAGAAGTGTATCCAATTCCAGAGAATGGAGAATAATTTGGATTTACTTATGAGAAAGATAGAGTATATCATTTATTAAATAATGATCGTAAAACATTTGGAGTAGGTATGGATCATGTTAATGGAGGTTCTTTCTCATTTTTATTGGAGAGAATCAATTTAACATTTTCTGATGATTAAGAAGTTTCAAGTGTTTCTATTGGAATTCATGATTTTGAACTTTTAGAATAAAAACCAGAGGAAGATTATTATTTTGATGATTTTTGGATGTAAAGAATGGAAATCTGGATTTATTAATAACCATAATAAGTATCTAAAAGTACATAAAAACCATTGTTTAGTGGATAATAAGGTAATTAATTAATAGAAACAAATGATACTTCTACTTTTGGATATGGAATTCTAAGTAATCCTATCTTATAAGATAAATACTTTGCTAAATAATCTGTCTATAATTATTTAAGTGCTACACCTATTTATTCTATACCAGGAAATTGTAATAATACTAACATTTTATAATGCATCTATGTATCGAATATGTTTTTGAATGAATAAGCAATCAAAAACTCAACTAGTATTTAACTTAATGGTACATTAATTTAATAATAAACAAAACCATTCCCAACATTTGTTGTTGATGGATTAGAATTATTAGGATAATTAAATTCTCTTACTGAAACTCCATTGTAATATTCAGCAGCTTTGAGAATTTTTGAAGCATTCTAAAATTAAGATGGCGTCAAATAAATTATTTTAGCTGTCTAGGATGCAACTAAAAAATGGTAAAATTAAGAATTGACATAAATTTGGAATTCATATGTCTCTGAATTAAGTGCCTTTTGTTCAGTCCCATAATTTTTTAGTTATTATTTAAAAAATAAGAAATCCATGGAATTACTCTTTTAATTATTAGCAGGTACACCTGATTAACCTAATAGTGATTAAAAAGCATGGAAAGAAAAAGAAATTGAAGCTGTTAAATTTATTTATGATACTTTGTCAGATGTTTTTAAGACACATAATAATTAAGAAATTAGAATTATTGCTATTAATGATAATTTAATATAAAAAATCTTAGATAAAATTGCCGTTGTTAGTAAAGAAAAGAAAAGAGTATTTTAAGAAATTATTGCTGAAGAAGAACCTTAATAATAATAATAATAATAATAATAGTAAAACTAAGTATAAAATGATAAAGGTGTAGATAGAAAACCTAAAAAGAAGTAAGGTGTTGGATATGGTAGTGATTAAACTGGATAGAATTAAAAATGGAATACATAAGAATATTTAGATAAAAAGAAAGTTAGATCTGAATAATTAAAATCTCTTTTAGAAATTATAAGAAACTTTTTCAATTATGATAATTGGCATCTGAATTAAGAATTATCAAAAAGAATTAATGAAATGATATTTGAAAGTGCCTTATTGTCTTTATTAGAAGCAGCTTTTAGATCTGGTTCATTGTTAGAAATGTCAAAAGATTTTGATCTCAATTTATGTTATCTTTAATTAACAAAAACATTAGCGAAACATAAAAATTTGACTCCTTTATTGTTAAGGATTCCATCAAATTATATACCAAAACAGATTGAATCTATAGCAGAATTATTAAGTAACTTAAAAAATATTGCACAAATATTTTTATCATGTTTGAAAACAAATGAATTGTCAGAGAAGGATTAGATTTCAAAATAAATAGCAACAATAATTTTGGAGACGGATACATGTGTTTAAGAAGCAATAGAAAGATTTGAATGTGATGAATCAGATGAGGAATTAGAAGAAGCAAAAGAACATGAATTGTAGGAGATATTAAAATTACCATTAAATGAAGCTTATAGATTATTATTAAAGGATTTAAGATTTGATTATGTTTCATTTAAGGGATAAAATCAGTAATATCTTCATTATTATGAAAAATAAATAACTTAAGCTCCGATTCCAACTCCAGCAAAATTGATTCGTTTAGCATAAGAATTCGCAGATATGTCAAATTCATTACCAGTTGAACATACAAATTCAATATTTGTAAGAGCTGATAAGGATAGAGTAGATGTAATAAAAGCATTAATAATGGGAGCATCTGGGACACCATATGCTCATGGAGCTTATTTATTTGATATATATTTTGAAGATCAATATCCAAATACTCCTCCAAAGATGAATTTATCAACTACTGGAGGTGGTAAAGTGAGATTTAATCCTAATTTATATGCATGTGGTAAAGTATGTTTATCATTATTGGGAACATGGAGAGGACATGCATCAGAAAACTGGGATCCTAAATTATCAACAATATTATAAGTATTAGTATCAACATAAGCTATAATAATGTCTGAAGATGTTTATTTTAATGAACCAGGATTTGAAGGGGAAGCAGGTTAATAGGATGGAGAAATGAAGAATGAAGCATATTCTAATATTGTTAGATTTGGTAATATATAATATGCAATGATTGAAAATATTAAAAATCCACCATTAGGATTTGAATCAATTATTAGAAGACATTTTTATTTGAAGAGAGTTGAAATTATGGATGAAGTAAAAAAATGGATATAATATGCAGAATAGAGATAAGCATAATATATGGGATTGGTGAGTGATCATAATAGTCAATGGTGTTCAATATTTAAGAAATCTAAGACTTAATATTTAGAGATGCTAAAAGATGCTACTGCTGAATTAGAGAAAGCTTTAAATAGTTATTAACATCCAAGCATCAAAGAAATAAGTCCAAAATTGAATTAAAGAAGAAAAAAGAAATAATAAGAAAATCAAGTAAATGTTCCAAAAGTCACAGAAGGAATACTCAATATAGAAGAAGTAGATGTGACATATGATAAAGCTATTTAAGAATAAGTACTTGATGTAAGCAATGAATAAGTGAGAGACAGATGGAGTAGATATATAGGAGCGATGGGAATAGAAGCTGTTAAGAAACAGGCAAATGCGAAAGTATTGATTAGTGGATTAGGATCATTGGGTGTAGAGATAGCTAAGAATGTGGTGCTTTCTGGAGTTGGAGTTTTTGCCATTTATGATAATAAAGTAGTAAATGAGGATGATCTGGTTGGGTAGTTCTTCCTTTCTTAATCTGATATTGGGAAATCAAGGGCTAGTGTATGTGTAGACAAAATCTAATAGTTGAATAACTATGTTAGAGTTAAAGTGATAGAGAAAGATGTTTAAGAGTATATAACTAAAGAGCAATTTGACATAGCAATTCTAACAGATGTTTATGATTACAATGAATTAATTTGTTGGGATAATCTCTGTAGAACTCATAATATTAAATTAATAATATCTAATGCTAATTCTGTTTATGGTAGAATAATCAATGACTTTGGAACTGAATTTAAAGTAATTGATAAGAATGGAGAAGATATTGCAGATGTTCTTATTAAATCTATTTCATAAGATGGAGTAGTTGAATTATTAGAGGGATAACGATCTTAATTTGCTGATGGGGATCATATCATTTTATTATAAGTCTAAGGAATGCAATTAGGAGATTAATCTATTAATAATCAGCTTCTCAAAATTTAAACAATTTCTACAAAGAAATTTAAGATTCTAGATGATATCTCTTAATATTCTCCATACATATCAAGTGGAATAGCCAGACATGTTAAATAAACTATTACATTTTCTAATAAACCCTTAGATACTGTTTTAAATAGTGATGATTTCTTAGATCCAAATCTTAAGGACAGTGATAGTATTAAACCATTAGAACAAAGTCTATTACATTTAGCATATAGAACACTATCATATACTAATGGAGATATCTCTAATCTTCTTGATTCTATTCAAAAATTTGATAAGGGTAACTTAATTTAATAGAATTAAAAATAAGCTAAGTATTTAGAATACTATCTCAAAATGTTTTAGAAGACTTTCTAATTACCAGCATTTCCTCCTCTTGCTGCTTATCTAGGAGGGTTTGTCTCTTAAGAAATTATTAAAGCCCTCACTAATAAATTTACTCCTATTAATTAAGCTTATTATTTTGATTGTATTGAAGTCTTACCTTTCGAAATATGGGATGAAAAAGGAGATCAATAAGCTTAAATGTAAGCATTAGATCAAGTATAAATTACAGGTAAAGATGCTTTGGCTAAATTAATGGGATAAGATCTCTATTAGAAAGTTAAGAATACACAAATATTCATGGTTGGATGTGGTGCAATTGGATGTGAATTACTAAAGAATTTTGCTATGATTAATTTAAGTATAGAAGGTTAGATTACTATAACTGATCCTGATCATATTGAAACATCTAATCTAAATAGATAATTCTTATTCAGAGAAAAACATATTCATAAACCTAAATCTTAGACTGCAGCAGCAGCTGTTATTTAAATGAATCCTCTTCTTAAAGGAAAATTAATAGCTAGAATGGATAAAGTTCATGAATAAACTGAAAACATTTTTAATGATTAATATTTTGAATAATTATCACTTGTTGCTAATGCTCTTGATAATGTTTAAGCTAGAAGATATGTTGATCGTAGATGTGTTAAAGCTAAGATTCCATTATTAGAATCTGGAACACTTGGACCTAAAGGACATGTTTAATGTATTATTCCATTCTAAACAGAATCATATAATAGTATGTAAGATCCTGTTGAAGAAGGTGAAATTCCTTATTGTACTTTAAAAATGTTTCCAGAAGAAACATTCCATTGTATTGAATTTGCTAGAGATAAATTTAATAAGTTGTTTTCATTAAAACCAAAATTAGCTTAAAATATTATTGATAATTAATCATTTAATCCATCAAATCCAGAAGAAATTAAACAATTAAAATCTACCATTAAATTATTATAATTTGCTCCAATCAAATTAGATGATTGTATTTAATGGGCTAAAAACAAATTTTAAAAATACTTTATCAATGATATTAAATAATTACTTTACACATATCCAACTGATGCTAAAACAAAAGATGGATAACCTTTTTGGAAATTACCAAAAAGACCTCCAAAATGTTTAAATTATGATATTGAAAATCTCATTGTAGTATAATTTATATCAACAATGGCTTTTCTTAGAGCTAAACAATATAATCTACCTACACCAAATGATTGGAGATTAGAAAAGAACAGAATTGCTGTAGCTATTTTAGGATAGAAAATGACATGTAAAGAATGGATACCTAATGATTCAAAGAAAAAGGAGATAGAAGAATAAGTGTTAAAACTAGAAAATAAATAATAGAAATAATAAGAAGAAGAATAAGAGAATAATATTTTTGATGATACTACTAAATTATTAGCATAACTTCAAGATTTGAGATCTGTTGGGTATATATATATATTTATATTTTAGAATTAAATTATATTCATAAGAATTTGAAAAAGATTGTGATATGAATGGTCATATAGATTTTATTCATTCTCTAGGAAATCTAAGAGCTTTAAATTATGGTCTTGATGAAATGGATTGGATTACTGTTAAATTAAAGGCTGGAAGAATAGTTCCAGCATTAGCTACTACAACAGCAGTAGTTTCAGGATTATAGACTATAGAATTAGTTAAAGTTCTAAAAAAATGTAAATTGGAAAATATGAAGAATGGATTCATTAATTTAGCAGTTCCTATTGTTTAATTGACTGAACCTATGAAAGCTGAAACTATCAAATTAAATGAAGAAGTTAATGTTACTTTATGGGATAGATGGGAGGTTAGATTAGGAAAAGAAATCACTTTGTAGAGCTTATTCTAACACTTAAAATAAACTTATCATTTAGAACCAATTAATGTATTCAAATAATCTTCAGTCATTTATATGCATGATCTTCACAAAGGATAGAATCTATTTACATAACCCATTTTTGAATTATTAGATGTTAAGGTATATATTTTATATATCATTTTTTTAGACTGATTATGTAGATTTAGTAATTAATTTTGTGAAAGATGAACAGATATTAAAGAATGTACCTGAAGTTAGAGTTTACTTTAACCAATGAATGTCTATTATATGTTTAAATTATCAAAATATATATATGTGTTTTAAGCTTATATGACTAGTTACAATTATTTGTTTATTTACTTTGAAATATTAAAAACATAATTAATGGGAAATTGCTGTGGATAATCTACAATATTGGAGTGTCACTAATTATAAATAGTTACTAAAGATTAAATGGAAGCAGAATAAGCAAACAAAGCTGCAATCAAAATTTAAAGTAATGTTAATTAATTATTGTCTTAAGGTTTTGTTCGAGGATATTTGATTAGAAAAAAACATAAGAATCATAAATATAGTAGTGTTGCAATAACAGCTACATATGAATATACCTAATCAAACAAATAAAGCAGATAAGAAATTTAATTAGGTGATCTAAAAAAGTTAAACTCTATTTCAAAAGAAACAAACATACTATAAAATGTAAAATCAATAGAGAAGATACCAGAAAGTCTTGATAATTTAACAAAATCAGTATAGTTATTCTTTAAATTTGATTTCTTTTTTAGTTAAGAAAAGGCCTACCCGACTTTATTTATGATGTTTACGAATAGGAACCAGATTTAATAATGAAAGGACCTATGCAAGATGAATACGATCATATTTATATAGGTTAATGGAAGGATAAGTATAACCCTTGGCTATTTTAGTGAAAAGTGGGGTAAAGGAATATAGTACTGGTCAGATGGGTCATATTATGAAGGTTATTGGAAGAATAATAAATAAAATGGAAGGGGAAGATTGATACATGTAGAAGGAGATGTTTATGAAGGAGATTGGAAAGATGATAAAGCTCACGGTTATGTAATTATTTCCATTATTTCTTTAGGGTAAGTTAACTACTTCAAATGGTGGATATTATATAGGTGAATGGTTTAATGATAAATAAAATGGTTAAGGAAAAGAACATTGGCCAGATGGAGCTAATTTTGAAGGAAATTATGTTGACGGCATCAAATTTGGTTAAGGTGTTTATACAGTTGCAAATGGATCTCAATATATTGGAGAGTTTGCAGATAATTGTTTTAATGGTTATGGAATATATAAATCCTCTGATGGCACTAAATATATAGGATATTGGAAATAAAATAAAATGCATGGATAGGGAGTAATATATTTAAATTTAAATAAAGGAATTCTATTGGAATGATGGTGCTAAATATTTTGGAGAGTTTCTTAATGATTAAAGAGATGGCTATGGTACTTTTTATTATAGTGATGGAAGAGTAAATATTCATAATATTATTTTTAGATATATAAAGGATAATGGAAAAATGGTAAAAGACATGGAAATGGTACATATATAGGCAAAAATAAAATGGAAAAGTAAGGTAAATGGTAAAATGGTAACTTTGTTGTTTGGGAAAAGCAATTAACAAACTCATCTGTAGGTGATGATTCTTTATTTCATTGAATGTATTTTTCGAACCTGTGTTTTGTTATAAATATATTTTTATATTTAGTTTTATTATTATTATTATTTAGAATTAAAAAATTTAATACTATAGAATTTTGAATCTTTCAATAGTTGAGTAAATAAGAAATTTGATTTATTTTTGCTTGTTTTAATTAATATTTCTAGAATTCTAACCATGAAAAACAAATATTATATAAATATTAAATAATGCTTATACAGACAGTAAAATCTTTTAAAAAATAAATAAGTGCAGTTTTACAGATAGATATTGAATTTAGAATATTATTTAAAATAATTAGATAATTTTAAAATCTAATTGACTGTCTAAAGATATTTAGAGGAGACCATTTAGATTTATTAATTCTTAATGAATTACTAAAATATTCTATGCACCTTTCAAAATTTTATTGTTGAAATCAGACCCCTTAGATTTATATAGAATCTCTAAATTATTTTAAAAAAATACCACTTGTATTTGGAGGTAAAAGAAATATATTTTAATGATTCATAGAAAAAACTTAAAGCCCAACTTCTTAGAATTAACCCTTATGAACATTGACGAAATGCATATTTAGATTTACTAAAAGTTAAAAAATTAATAAGTTTGAATAAGTTGCATAACCTAAATTATTTCAAAAAATTGTTATAATTAATTTAATTTTTAAATATAACATCTTGTTCTTTTTAACAAAGAATTAACAACTAAATTTAATAATTTTTATCAATCTTTAAATTATAATTCAATAAATGAACAAAATCATAATCATTAAAATCTGCAGGATAAATTAAAACTTTGATTTTCCAGTCTACTAGTTCTTTGAATCTTAGGTAGAAGTATTATTTGTAAGAGTTGATGAATTACTTGTAGGATTAGTTGTATTATTTTAAGAATTAGTTGTATTATTTTAAGAATTAGTTGAATTATTATCAATTGAAGTTTAATTATTTGATGAATTATTGTTATTAGTATTATTTGAATTTTCACTATTATTTGTAATGGGTTTATAATTGATACATTTTTCACATTTATTATCCTCATTCAAAAAATATGTAAAGTAAGTATATTGCCCACAAAAATTATTAGAAATTTCAGATATATCTTTAGGTTCTATACAAGATTTAGTTCTCTAATCCCAAGCACAAACAATAAGATAATCTTTTTTAAAGAAGTTTATGCCACAATTATATTCCCTTAAACCCTATTCACATCTCCAACGTTAACAGATTCCATCTTTCCATTAGCAATTAGATTACTTACAATAATTTTCATTGAACGATAATTCTTCACAGTTCTCAAAATCTGGAAATATTTCACATTTTTCACTTGTTGACCAAACACATCTTTCCTTCCCTAAATAATTGCTTTTACCATAGCACGAATCCTTATCCATGATAGCATCACATTTAACATTGACACAAGACGATTAATCATCACTTAAAATGCAGCTCTCCCATTAGTTACAAATCGTTAGACTTAAATCTCCACAAGATGTAAAAGTTTTGCATTTACCTTCAGCATTTTCATAACAATCTAAATAATCCAAACAATTTATTCTTGGTTCTTCATCATATTCTGGGCAAGTGTAATTGTATTTAACACACGATTTTCCATTCCACTTACATTATCTATATGAATTCATTAGATTGCAATTATTTTCATCTATAGATTCACAAAACTCTACACATTTCTTTTCTTTCTCATTCCACCCACATTTATAATAATGACCATAATAAATACAATCTGAAATATTATTATTATACGCCTCACAAGGACATCTCTATTCATTCATTTCAATTAACACATTTGAAAGTGCTATAAAATTAAGCCACATTGTGAAAAAAAAATTTTTCATAAACATATATATATAATCTATATTTTAATTAAATCATAGACTTATTTAAAAAAATATTCTACCTTACAAATTTTAACATTATATTATAATTTTTTTTGAAATTAATAGAATAACATCTCAATTAGTTTTATAGGTTTTAACCAAAATATATTTTAATAGACACTATTTTTATTTCANTATCAATTGAAGTTTAATTATTTGATGAATTATTGTTATTAGTATTATTTGAATTTTCACTATTATTTGTAATGGGTTTATAATTGATACATTTTTCACATTTATTATCCTCATTCAAAAAATATGTAAAGTAAGTATATTGCCCACAAAAATTATTAGAAATTTCAGATATATCTTTAGGTTCTATACAAGATTTAGTTCTCTAATCCCAAGCACAAACAATAAGATAATCTTTTTTAAAGAAGTTTATGCCACAATTATATTCCCTTAAACCCTATTCACATCTCCAACGTTAACAGATTCCATCTTTCCATTAGCAATTAGATTACTTACAATAATTTTCATTGAACGATAATTCTTCACAGTTCTCAAAATCTGGAAATATTTCACATTTTTCACTTGTTGACCAAACACATCTTTCCTTCCCTAAATAATTGCTTTTACCATAGCACGAATCCTTATCCATGATAGCATCACATTTAACATTGACACAAGACGATTAATCATCACTTAAAATGCAGCTCTCCCATTAGTTACAAATCGTTAGACTTAAATCTCCACAAGATGTAAAAGTTTTGCATTTACCTTCAGCATTTTCATAACAATCTAAATAATCCAAACAATTTATTCTTGGTTCTTCATCATATTCTGGGCAAGTGTAATTGTATTTAACACACGATTTTCCATTCCACTTACATTATCTATATGAATTCATTAGATTGCAATTATTTTCATCTATAGATTCACAAAACTCTACACATTTCTTTTCTTTCTCATTCCACCCACATTTATAATAATGACCATAATAAATACAATCTGAAATATTATTATTATACGCCTCACAAGGACATCTCTATTCATTCATTTCAATTAACACATTTGAAAGTGCTATAAAATTAAGCCACATTGTGAAAAAAAAATTTTTCATAAACATATATATATAATCTATATTTTAATTAAATCATAGACTTATTTAAAAAAATATTCTACCTTACAAATTTTAACATTATATTATAATTTTTTTTGAAATTAATAGAATAACATCTCAATTAGTTTTATAGGTTTTAACCAAAATATATTTTAATAGACACTATTTTTATTTCACCTAAAATCATCTTTCATCCAATTAAGTAATAATTTATCTAACAATTAAAAATATAATAACTCAATAATATCATTTATAATTATTATAATAATCATATTCTTAAATTATATTATATGCTTCTTTGGATTTATCCTTATTTTCAAAATAATTGTTTAAATATAAATATTTCAATGATTCATTTTAAATATTTAATGTTTCAGTTTAATTAAATTTAAACAAGTCTTCAAAAATTAGAATATTTTGTATTAGTCTGGCTGAAAAATTGACTGCAATATCTACATTCTCCTTTTTTTAATCAACATTGACTTTTTATCTTGAAATTACTACAATATTTTAAATACACTTTAAAATATCTTAATCATTATTATCTGTATATTCACAAATTGATAACATTTTATTATTAAATAATTTTAAAAGTTTTAATGGCTGTTGACTCATTAAAACTGTTTCCCATTCTAATTTATATAAAATGTGCAAAATTTCTGTAAATGATTCCTAATTTAAGCATTCCTTCATCATATTAAAAATTTGGCTTGTAAATTTATTCTTTGTAAAAGCCAAATAATTTACTCTCACAATCCTTTTTATTAAATTTAATCGAGATTATTTACATTTTATTTATTTAATTATAATTAATATTTGTAGTAAATTTTATTAATATTCTTAAGATTAGCCAAGACAAATCAGACAATGAATTTATTAAAACAATATTTATAAAACATATAGATTATTGCTATAATCTACTATTTTCATAGCTTTAATAACTAACGATAAAGCCTTATTGTATTAGTTTTTCTTTGAACTATAAATTGAATAATAATAATAAATTTCCCAAACATCCTAAAATTGAAATTTTTCATAATATTCAATAATTATTTCAAAAAGATCATCTATAATAATTTTATCATTTTATTGAAAACCAAAATTAGTACTAGAAGCTAAAATAAAAAGTATTATCTTAATCCCATACTTATCTGCTCCTCTTTATTCTAATTGTTTTATTATTTCTTTAGGAGTGTTTGCCTATATTCCAAATATTTTAAAATTTTATTCAAGGAAAAATTAGTAAGGAATACTTAAATTATCCATTGTTATCATATTATCAAGAGTATTGTATTATAAAATAATCCAAGAAAAATTAAAGGAAAGTCTTTAAATAAGAATACTGCTTTAAAAAAATGTTTAAACTTTCATTAAGTGTTTTGAAAGTTCGTTTACTGTTTCAAGACAATTTTTTTCTAAATAAGTTCTTAATAATTCTAATTTTACATATGATACATCATCAAGTAAATATTACTAATTATCTAACTCTTCTAAAATTAAAAGAGCCTTTTGTTATTAATCTTATTCTATTAAACATTCAATTTCAAATAGTTTGTATTATATTTAAGCATCGTCGGAATACTTTTGCATTTCTAGGCAAGCTTAATATTATTTTTCAAAATTTCCTAGTCGAAAATAATAATTCTAAATAAGATTATATTACCATGCTTTTGTTGATGAGTTAATTTCTAATAGAGATTTATCATCTAATAATTGAAATTCATTAAGTAGCAATACATTATATTTTTATATAATATGATCGACATTTGAGGTATTATAGATACTCTATAGAACATAATTATTAAAATCTGAATATTTATTTAAACCATATGTGTTCCAAATAGTTTCTTCAGAAAACTTCAGTATTTTTTTTTATTTGATCATTAATTCCATTAAGTAGTCTTCGTTCTAAAATTTATCTTCGAAGATTGAATACATTTATGCTTATTTTTCTTATAAATAACTTGGTAATATAGGGATTTTATTTAATCCGACTAGCACATTTAATTTAATATAATTGTAACTTTTACCATAAATTTAAAATTCTATAGGTAAGTCTTTTAAAAGGCAATCATCATCTAACATCTTTTATAACTGTAAAATTGAGTGACTTTTCTTATAAATCTATAACATAGTGATCAAGAATGAGTATATATCATTATTAAAAAGATTCTAATCACATTATATTTATGAAAAATTAGTTTTTAATAATTCTCTTAAATTTTTAGGCAAATATTATTTAGTTCCTGAAATTAAATACTTTCCTTTTTAATATTTATACTATAAAGAACAACCAAAATCACTAAGTATCCAACCTTTTAATGTATAAATTATATTTGCTGGTTTAATATCTCTGTGAGCAATTCTTAGAGAATGCATTTCCAATATTTATTGTAAGATTGAATGATATATACTTAAAAATTCCTAATATTCAATATTAACTTTAGCCACATATTCAGATAAAGTTGTAATTCCCATTTCCATACCAGCAAATGTAGTAAAATAATTAAGGGATTCTTAAATTATGTAAACTCGATCTATTAATAATAAAAAGCTTTAAGGAAATTTCTTGTTTAATATACACTAAATTTTATATTCATTCACTTATTATAGAATGTCTTCAGATTAACATCTTTAATGAACTTTTACTGCGCAATATAATTGTGAAATTAGATGTTTACACATACATACAATTCCAAAACTTCCAGATCCAATAATTGGATGATTATCTATTAAATAGCTCTTGTTCATAATTTATGATATATTGTAAGGAACTTCTTCAGCCATTATAAAAATATTTGAATTTTCAGAAATCAATTTTAAAATCAATCTTTGTTCAAAAGAAAAAATTCTTGTTTAGTTTTCTATCATCTCAAAATAACCTTTTGTTTCTTAAGATGAAGAAGATGAGATTGTTTTTGCTTCTTAAATCATCAAGAACTAAATTAATGATAAATTTTAATTAAATTAATTTATTTTAATTCTGTTTGAAAATGTTATCTCAACATCTCAAAGATCCTTATTTTATCTAATTAAATGTAGTATTCTGAAGATTATATGATTAATGGGTATTTCTTATCATAATAAAGATCAATCTTAAATGAATTTTTTGAAGAATCTCAATAATTATATCAATTTTCATATTATTTCTTTGAAAGTGATTTGGCCTTTTTTTATTTTTATGTATTATAAATTTTTGATTATTATTATAAGTATTGTCATATATATAATACTATTTTTAACTTAATTGCTTTTTAAGAAAAAAAATCATCTAGAAAAATATTCATAAATATTTAAAAGGAATAGAAGTACTTATAGCCCTAAAGAAGAATAATAAATTTATAAACTCTTTGTAATTGTAATTTTTATTAATTTTCTTAGTTATTAATTTTAGGATTGTTGATTAAAAGAAATAAATGGAGATTGAAATATTAATTCAAAATTGCTAGAAAAACATCTAATTTAGTTTATTGAAATTTTAGATCAAATAAATATACTTGCTCCTTATTATTTATTAATAAATTTTGTTTATTTTCAAATTAGTATGCTTATATTATTATATTAGAATTTATTGATTATAAATAAAATATGAACTTATAATTCAGAGATTAATTGGAGAATAAAAATGTAGAATGATAGTTAAATGTTTAAATTTAAATTTCTTCCATTTTCTTTTGAAAAAAGTAAAAAAATCTGATATTTAATTTATAAAGGGTAAAATGTTTTTGCAGAATATTTTTACATTCCACAAAACCTAATAAATTTGAATATTGAATTAACAAAAATGGTAAAAATGAAATTAATTAGAATTAGCCAAAATATGGAGTTTATAAATATGGATTAAAAGAAAAATAAATGATATTAAAAAATCAAATTAATGAATCAAGAAAATAACTCAGAGAATGAGAAGTTGTAACTTGAATTGTTGTAAAAAGCTAATGATTATTATGTAAAAGCCGAAGTAATTAAACAATTTATGTTAAGGAATTAAAATAGAATCAACAATTTGATGATGCTTTAATTAAAATAAATGAAGCTCTAAATTATAATACAAATTATTCAGAGGCATTTAATTTGAAAGGTAACAAATGAAATTCACTTGTATAAAGGTTTTCTATTAATAAAATAAGGAAATTCAGATTAGGCATTAGAATAATTGAATAAAGCTATTCAATTGAACTCTGAACTATCAGATGCTTATTTTAACAGAAGTATTCTGATTTACAATATTAGGTTGTATATATAAAAAAAATAAAACTTATAATTTAGCTATGGATGATACAGAAATTTGTATTAAATTAGATCCAAAGCAAACAAAATATTAGAATTTAAAAGGTAAAAATAGTTTTTAAGTTCTAATAGGATTAATATTAAAAGAATAAAAAAATTATTAAGAAGCTCTAGTTATTTTTTAGAAAACTTTAGAATTAGACAATTAAAATTATCCAGCACTTTATAATAGAGGTAATGATATGGATGATAATTAAGGTTTAATTCTTAAAACTTTAAAAAAAGATGAAGAAGCTTTATAAGAATTAAATAGGGCAATTGAAAGTAGACCAACATCTAGTGAAGCATTTTTTGAAAGAGGTGATCTGTTATCAAATATGAAAAGAAATTCCGATGCCTTATTAGACTATAATAAAGCAATTGAATTAGATCCTAAAAAAGCTTAATTTTATGAGTATAGAGGTTTAAAATTATATTTATGGTAGGCATATTGCTAAAAGAAATGGAAAAGTAGGATGAAGCATTATAAGATTATAATTAGGCTATCGAATTAAATCCAAAAGCTCCAAATTATTATGTTAATAGAGGTTATAAATGTAATTATTTAAAGGAAATTTATTAAAATTATTGAATCAAAAAGAAAAAGCTCTTGAGGACTATAATATGGCTGTGTAGATTAATCCAAAATTTATAAAGTCATATAAAATGAGAGGTAAATTTGAATGATTATTTTAAGCTATTCTATATAAGGAGATTAATGAAAATGAAAAAGCTCTTAATGATTATACAAAAGCTTTAGAATTAGATACTAAAGATGCTACTATTTATATTAATAGAGGTAAATTTAATATATTTATATAAAGCTAATTTGTTAAAATAACTTGGATAGATTGAATAAGCCATTCTAGATTATACAAAAGCTATTGAAATAAATCCCAAAGAAATTGAATATTACAACAAACGAGGTAAAGAATTATTTAGTAACATAGCACTTGCATATAAATAAATAGGTTAAAAGGATTTGGCATTGAAAGATTATGACATAATTTTAAAAATGAATCCAAATAACACAAAAACTTACTGGAATAAAGGTAATGAAATATTTCAATATATAAGCTATTCTTTTTGAAGATTTAAAACAAAATGAACTTGCTATTAATAATTATAGTTTATATATCTAATTTAATTCATAGGATGAATAAGCATACACAAAGAGAGGTAAATAATCATAATAATCTAATTTCAGCCAATCTTTATATATTGAATAACTAAATTGAATTTGCTTTAAATGACTATTAAAAAACTATTGAACTTAACCCAAATAATCATCTTGCATATTATAATCGAGGTATTGATTTCTTAATATTTTTGTAGCTATTCTCCTCAAATAATAAAAAGAAAATGAAAGAGCATTATAAGACTTTCATAAATCCTTAGAGTTAAACCCTAATCATCTAGATTCTTATTTAAATAGAGGTATTGGAATTCAAAATTATTACAGGAAACTTATACAAAGATCAAAATTAATTTGATCTAGCTCTATAAGATTATAATAAAATAACCGAATTAAATCCAAATTGTTGGAGTGCATATTTCAATCGTTGTAAAATAATCATTTTTATTCTATAGCTTTATTGTATTAGAAATATTAAAAAAAGGATTTGGCATTTTTAGATTGTAACAAATCAATTGAAATTAACCCTAAAATTCCATATCTTTATTATACTAGAGGTTTTAGTTCATATTAATTAAAGGATAAATATTAAGTGATATGAATTTAAATGATTAAGCAATGAATGACTTTAATAAAGCTATTGAGATTGATCCTAACTATATTGATGCATATAATAGTAGAGGTATTTTAAATTATAAAAAATAGGCAATTTATTAAAATCTTTAAATTAATATGAATTAGCTATGAAAGATTATAATTAATGTTAAGAATTGAATTAAAATTATTTTTAAGCTTATCATAATAGAGGTATTATTCTTCAAAATAATTAGGAATCTTATGGAACAAAATGAATGAAAAAGAAAAAGCACTTGTTGATTTTCAAAAAGCAATATAACTAAATCCTACAAGTGCTATAACCTATTCTTCAAGAGGATCTATATACTAAGAAATGAATTTAGTAGACAAAGCAATAGAAGATTATACTAAATCTTTAGAAATATAACCAAAATAATGCAACATTCTAATCTAACGTGGTAAATGATTGACATTATAGTAAGCAAAATTATATTATTAAAAATAATAATATGCTTAAGCATTACAAGATTATAACATATTAATTGAGATTAATCCTAAGGAAATTGATTATTATTTTTAGAGAGGTATTTTATTATTATATTTCTAGCCAATATTTTTGCAGAATTTAATAAAGACTTCTAAAATGCTTTAAAGGATTACAATAAAGCTATTGAAATCAATCCTCACTATTTGGCTTATTATAAAAGAGGTGTTAATTATTCTATAAATGATTAGCTTTGTTCTATAGATCAAATGACCAATATGAATAGGCTCTTGATGATTGTAACAAATCAATAGAAATAAATCCATAATGTGCACTTCCTTACATTGCTAAAGGTAATATATCACTCATTATGTAGGTTTAATATTGAAAGAAATGAATTAGCCAGATTTAGCTATTATTGAATATAACAAGGCTTTATTGTTGAATCCAAATAGTTCTGATATATTAACTAAAAGAAGTAACATTCATTTAAATCAAGTTTAGGCATTGCTTATAGATAAATGAAAAACCATGAATAAGCTCTCTAAGACTTAGCAAAAGTAATTGAGTTGAATCCTTAGAATTCAGATGGTTACATTACAAGAGGTTAATAAATTTATTTAAAATAGCAAAATTACTGACTGAGATGAATTAGATGGAAGCAGCCTTATAAGATTATAATAAAGCAATAGAATTAAGTCCTCAATCAGAATTTTTATATTATAATAGAGGTAAAATTTAATTAAATTTTAGCTGTCTGTTACAATAAATAATAATTAACAGATTTATCCCTTCAAGATTATAATAAATGTATTGAATTAAATCCAAACTATAGTCTAGCTTATCATAATAGAGGTTGATTTATTTATTAAATTTAGGCCTTTTACTCAAAGGTTTGGGCAAAAAAAATGAAGCTCTCTAAGATTGTTTAATTGCTATAAAATTATGCCCAGAAAATCCTTTATTTTTAGCTAATATTGGAGATCATTATTATTCAGATCAATAAGTTGAAAAAGCTCATTCTTATTATAAATAAGCCTAATTTTAAATAGAAAATATTTCAACTAAAAGAAAGAATGAATTAAATTTATCCAAATAAAATTTAAACTTTATAAACAGTAAACTCAAACTAATCAACTAAATTGAAATATAAATTTAATAAGTTAAAAAATAAATATCATAATTACCTAATTAAACTTCAGATAATGATTAAATAAAAGAGTATTTAGAAAAAGTTACATGTATTGAAAGGTCTGTATCTTATTCTCTTTAACCAATAAATTCAGAATAGTAGGCTGATTAATAATAAAGCATTCTTAGTTATTTTTAATTAGTTTAAAATTAATTAAAAGAGCTTTAAATAAAATTATAATCATAAGATTAAGTTATAAATAAATTAGTATAATAAGATTCATTTTAAATATCATAATAAATGAACTAATTAAAAAATCCAGAAAACAAACATTAATTAATTTATTTCAGGTCATTGTTTTGGCATTTATTTTATTATTTAAATGCAATGTCTGAGATATCTACAAATTTATTTGAAGTTAATACAAATTCTATGATAGAAAGTAAATCTGAGAAAGTGTTGAATCTTGTTAAAAAAGCTTTTAATGTAGGTACAAAAGTCTTAGAAAAAGTTCATATTGCTGAACATGCATTTCATATAATTAATGAAGCATTAAACATTGTTGTAGATCATAAAAGAGAAGAAAAATTCAAAAAGAGATTAGTTTGCTTAACTAACATATTAAAATTGTTTGCAATAACTCCTTCAGAATTAGAAAGAGAGGTTCAATTTACTGCAATTGAATTAGGAAGAGCTTAAAAACTTGGAATTAAAGAGATTGCTCCTTCAAAATTTTTAGAATTCATCACTAAATTAGCAGAGGAAGAAAATATCTCATAAGAGATAAGCAAAGATATTTATTGGAAGAAAGGAATAGAAGATACCTTAATCATTTTAAAATATTTAGAGAAATTTAATTAAAAAATTCTTAAAGAAGATCAAAATAAAAAATTGAGATAAATTTTTATGGATGCAATCAAATTACATACAACTGATTAATAAAATAAAAAAAATAAGGATTAAACTAAAAGTTAATCTAAATAAAACAAACCTAAGAAAGAAAGTTAAGAATAATGTTAAATTTAATGATATAATATCATAAATAAAAAATAAAATTATTATATTGAGATATAAAAGATGTCAAATAATATAATTTTATACTCTATTAGTTTCATGATTTTAGTCTAAATAAATATCTAATATTCATAAATTAGACATAAATCAATTTACCATTCATATATAGAAATCCTTTTTAATTGAATTAATTAAAATTACACCATTATAAATATAAATTTAATGATAAGTTTCACAAATCAGATTTGTTTATTCTGATATTTTTATTTGTGTTATACATTAAAAAATCTTTTTATCTCTAAAAATCTATTAATCTATTAATTTATTAAGATATATAGATATAATTATGACTTACTAGATCTATTTTTTTATTTATATGTATTATTTAATTCAATTATATCTTTTCCCTATATTCATTTGTTTAATACAGAAATTTTCGTTTAAATAAATTGAATTCGTCCCTTCTGTAAATAATCTAAATAATTAACTCATCTTTTTAGAAATATTATAATTGTTTATTCGTAATTAGTAGTTAAAGATACATTATTAATTTGAATCTTACTCAAATATATCAATTTCAATAGATTTAAAAAATAAATTTTATTTAGATATAACTTATGGACCACCTATTTTGTGCAATTTTTTACTAAATAAGTGAATATAAGAAATGGTTATTTACAAAATGATTAAATAATATTCGATATTTCAAAATTAAGATGAAAGTTATAGCAAAATAGTTATTGAAATGAATTTGTAAAAATATTGTTAGCAATGAAATTAGAGCTTTTGGATAATATTTATTTAGATTTGATTGTTAAGAATGAATGAATAAGTTAATAAAATAAAAGTGAGGGAAGGTAAATAATAAAGTATTATAAATGTAAAAGAAATTGATAATATAATTCTTGAAGAAATAGATTTATTCCATGAATGCAAATGTGAAAAAAGAAATAAAATATATCTAATTAATAGATTAATTCTTGAATAACTAATCATTTCTTGGTTTATTTCTTGCTGGCAGCCTTCTTTGTGGCATTATTAGTAGCTTTCTTTGGTTTTGCTGCTTGTTTTCCTTATTTTTTAGGTGTAGTAGCAGCAACTGGTGTTGTGGTGGTTGGTGCAGGTGTTGTTGTTGTTACTGGAGCTGGTGCTGGAGTTGCATCAGTTGTCTTTTTAGTGACTTTCTTAACTTTCTTTGTAGCTTCTAAAATAAATTAAATATTTGACTTGATGCTCCTGCATTCTTTCCTTTTTTGGTTGCTTTTTATTATGTTGCTCTTGCCATTTTAATTATATTTTCTTATTTTTATTATTAATTTTTTTGTTATAAGCTTTAAATTCGAATTATTAAAATTTCGTTAATTTCATTGGTTTATTTGTTATATTTTTGGATAATGATATTGCATGTCTTTAATTAACAAATAGCCAATCCTGCACATCCTCATACTTCTAGTTTTTTTTAAACATCAATTTATTTCAAATTTTCCCCTTCTAGAGGACCTCAAAATGTAAATAATTTTCTTTAATTTACTACTTTAAAGTATGATATCATTATTAAAAACCCTAGTTTATTGTAATCTTATGTTATTCTATGGAAATTATTGATTTTCTATCTTAAAAACAATGTTTGAAGTGTTAATTCAAAAAATTAGTTTTTACAAAAAAAGTAATAATAATTTTATTTTTTAGTTTTAAAGAAATTAATTTAATTATTTAATAAATATATTATCAACTTATTTTGGTACTCCTTCTAGCAATTAAGAATCTCTCTACAGCTTCAGCTAAGTCAGTTCCTCCACACTCAAGAACAGCATTTATTACATCAGCCATATTCTATTTTCCATTTAAAACAGCTTTTTCAAGTTATGTAATTTCTTATTCAAGAGATTATTGTCTCTATTCACTCAATTCTATTATGTTCTTTCTCTTAATATCATATTGATTACTTTATTTATGCCTAATTACTTCTATAAACTTTCTAGCTTAACTTAATCCTTTTTGTTTTAATGAACTAAATTTAATTTATATTTATAATTTACTCAACGCTTAATTTTCTTATTTCAAACTATCATTTAAAGTTGAATACTTATTAATTAAATATGTGAAATCTAAGTTCTACTCATTTGGTTATTATAAATATAAATTTATTTAACTTTTTAATTTCTCATTTTCTAAAATCCTACTACTACATTCATTATTTACTTTTACTTTATTTCCTAACTACTTTCAATCAATCTCTATTTTAACATTTATATTTCCATTTATAATTATGGGTTTGTTTTACCTATCTCATCTAACAATTCAAATTTTTAATTTTCTCCCTCTTCTAAAACTAACAGTTTTAATCTTGTTTATTTTAATTCTTCATTATAATTTTCTATTTCCATTCTCTAACTATTTATAGCTTATTTCATTTATTCAAAATCCCATTCATCATTCTTCTCCATTTTATTAATAATGTTTTAATTTCCTTAATTTTTTTATTTATATACTACTTTTTTATCAAATAATTCTTATTCCAAAGTATTTATTTTAGACTTTTTTCCCTCTATATCCCTTAAGAGATTAATATTCTCTATTTATTTATTAAAAAAATCTTTTTTCATTTATTCTAGATCTTTTTATAATTACACATTTTCCCTTTTAGTTATTTCTAATTCTATTTTCCATAATTAACCCTCTTTATAACTGAATTCAATCTCTTTCTATTTTTAATCTAATTCTTTTTTGATTAATTCATATTCTTTATTCAAAATAAAATTATTATTAGAATTATCATAACTTTTTAATTAGCATTTTTTATATTCATCTCTAAGTGTTGTATAAGTTTCTGATAACAAATTAAAAGAAGCTTCACTTTTTATTAATTTTTCTTTTAAACCTTAATTTTCTGACTATAATGATTATATTTAATTTTTCAATAACTTATTTTCAATATGTAATTCTTAAATTGATTAATCTTAATTTCCTTTTTCTAATTCTAATTATCTACTTGTAAAAAATCCAGCCTCTTAATATTTTTAAACTTATTTTCCTATATCTTCTGTTTACTTACAAAAAAATCTTTATTTTGTTGCTCTTTTTACAGTTTCATTTTATTCAGCCTATTAATTTTCAATTCTAATTTTTACTCTAGATTCAAATCTATTTGTACTTTTTTATCTTATCTTTTAGCCTAATTCTTTGAATGTAGGTTTAGAATCACTCTACAATTATTTTTTATTCACTTATTTTTTACAATTTTCTAAATGTCCTGATGAAGTCTATATCTTCTACTTTTTAGTAAATTTGCAGTCCTTTGGAGTTTAAAATCTTAGAGAATTTGTTGTTTAGATATGTACTTTATGAATATCTTCTAATTTTTCATCTTCAATCTATTATACTTTATCATTTTCTATTGATTTTTTATCAAACTATTCCTATTTGAATTCTTTAAAATAGTTCTCAGCAACTATGGAATCCTTCATCTTTAAGTTTTCAAGTTTGTCTCCAAATTTTAGATTCTATACTCTATTTGGACTTTATTATGATAATTTTATAAATAATGGTTATTCTCTTTCGGGATTAATGGATTCAATTTCTTGAGTTTATATTTACTCTAATTTATTCCAACCTAAACTCAATTCAACATATGCTTCTTAATCATATTTACTCTATATTGTAATATTGTCTATAATAACAGGAAGACTATTCTCTATATAAAATCCTAAATTGATTGTTGCTTCTCCCAAAATTATTTAGCCATCTTAAAACAAAAGCTTTAGCTAATAATATAAATACTTATTTACATTCCCTTTTTCGAGGTATTAAATATTTAAGTCAATTTTTTCATTAATTACTTAGATATCTCGGCATTTGCATTTCAATTTTGACTTCAAAATAATTGAGGATTAGTCTATTATAAATATCTTATACTATGAATAAACTACATCAAACAAGATTCTGTCATTGAATTTATAAAAAATTAGATTGTCCTCACCTCTAACTATAATTGAAGCATTTTAAATAATATATGTTATTGTTTAGAATAAAAGTATTGTAATTAAAATTTTATATTCTTTTTAATCATATACTGAAGCATCCATCTTTAATTTTATGTTATACTATTAAATTACTTATTTATATGGTTAAGTTAGTTAAATAAAAATAATAAAATAATTTATATCAAACCTATTTACTAGTTTTTCTAATTGTTAAATTAATTTGATTACTAATAGAACTTTTTAATGATATAAAATAGAATGAATCGCTTGATGAAATGTAATATTAAAATTTTAATAATATAGTTAAAAAAAATTTAAATTATGAATTCAACAACTCCAAAATCAAATGGAATCAATTATGCAAGTATAATTTGAATTATAAACTGATGGTAGAATTAAGAAAGCAAAGATCAAACTAAGACACTTTACCTAAATCAATGTCAACTAATATAAAAATGGATATCAATCATGGATCATAATTTGGAGGAATAAAGCATAGAAGTACTTCTTAACATAACATTAATGAAATGGCATAAATATAGTTATTTGATTAATGTTTAGTGAAATAAGCAAATTAAAATGAGTTCTTGATTTTCCTAGATAAATAGATGCAGTATTTTTGCTAAACAACTCCTGTAATTAATAATTAATAAACCTAGTAAAATTTTTCATCTTTTAGAGTTACTAATAAGGCAATATAAGAGGAAAAGAAAAAGTTGTAAGGAGAACTTTAAAAATTTAATTAAGAAAATACATTTTTGATTAAAGAGATAAAAGATTTAAATAAAACAAAGTAAATGCTTGTTAAAAGATATGATGCCTTACAAAGTTTAATATTGAAAGAAAGATTAAATAATCAACCTAGAGTTCATTAATTTAGTAATCCTAAATTTTAACATCATTTTAATCAAATATCTCCTGTTTAGGAAACAATATCTTCATTGACTGATGAAAGGGTATTAAATTAATCTTTTTCTTTTTAGTTTGAAAGTAATGCCACATCACTTGATTCTTCTTTATCATATGAAGATGATTAATCATCTGCATCATAATTGTTAGATTTATTACAGAAGAATTCAAAACACAGGTTTAATTTTTAAAAACAAATGGTCTGATAGTATATTTAATTATTTTGTTGTTTTTTTTAAGTTTTGTAAATTATTTTTTAGATAATAAAATTTAAATTAAAAAAACAAAAATGATAATGATATCTAAAATATAAAAAAATCATTTATTTAATATACCAGATGCAATTTCTTTTAAAAATACTTTATTATCTGTAGCTTCTCTATGAGTTTCCCAATTTTTAAGTTTGCTTTTCATTTTTTTCAACTATTTTTTCATTTCTACAATTTTTGGTTCAAAATCTGAAGGAAATCTAAATTTTTCATCATTTTATTCTTATATCAGATCTTTAATTTTTTTATTATTATCTAAGAATTATTTAATATACTCTTTTTGAATAAGAGAAGGTAATTTAAAATTTAGTAAATGTTATTGTTTAGAAGGAGTTTGTTAAATTTATTTTTTTATAAAAATAAAAGAAGGAGATCTAGATTATTTTAATTTTTCAAGTGTTGATATTGGTAATAGTTCCAAATTATCAGAATTTTATTGTTTGACAATTAAATGTTAAGGTGGAGATTAAATAATTTGTTTCTTTTTATTTAATATATTTTCATAGACAGCTTTTTTATATTCTTCAAATTAAGGTTAAATTGATTAATCTTAAGAGAATAATAAAGATTATCTTTCTGTAGTTAATTAAATGACTTTCATTCTTATTTCAGCATTAGATCTACTTCTAAACTTACCTAAATAAATAAAAATGATTACTAATATTTCTATCTTCTAATGATAGCCTTTTAGTTGGCAATTTCAATTTCATAGGATCATTTTAAATCCATTTTTCGTTAGTTGTTTCTTGAACTTATTAGAAGTTTTATTTTTTAGGAGTCGAGTATTTATCTGCTTAAAAAAGCCTATTCATTCTATCTCTTTCATTAATAAACGGAATGAAAATTAATTCTCCTTGTTTTGGTTCATTTTGATTCTCTAGTAAAAATATTTTATTTTCATAATTGTACTATCATTTTCTAAATTCTACAAAGTCAATAGTATGGGCATAGCACCAGGAGCATTATTTGATGAAGGAATGGAGACACATTTAGCCTTAATTATGCCTATACTCATTCGAATTATAATAATTTATTAATATTGTTAAAATTTACAAAATTGTCAATACATTTCTTGAATTAAAAATGTATCATGATTATAATATTTCTGAAATTAAATTGTTGAAAAATAGATATTAAAATATATTTAATTTGATTATAATTCATTGATAAAAGTTCTCATACTTTTTTAAGATTTCATCAAACTCAACATAATTGAATTCAATGCCTTAATATGCAAATCTAAAATAATTATAAAAAAGTAAAACCTTTTGCAAATAACTCTGAATTGATCATCAGTTAAAGGTAATTTATGAAAATCCATAATAGATCTAAATCTTGTAAATGTAATTTTGCCAGATTTAGTTTTATCCTTGAAATATTGATAAACATTAAATACTTTATCTTAGAAATGAGGTTTAAGTAAGATTCTATGTTTTCTAACAACTTCACCAAGTCTTAACATAATAGCATGTAAAGCTTCTTCTTCTTCTTAAGTTAAAGCATCTCTAGGATCAAGAAAAGTGGGTATAATATGAACAGGTGGTTTCATTAAAGGATCTTTATCTAATCCCTAAATTAAATTGTAAAATAATAAAATACAGTTTTAGTAAATACAATTTCAACATCTTCAATAAATTTAGCATAATTAACTCTGATAGGATCTTCAGGAACAATATACATTGTTTCTAAAAGATCTAAACTTTCTTAATCCAAATCTATTTTCATTTAACTAAGAACTCCTCTAAATTTATTTGTGGGCATAAGACCTTTTCTTAAAGGATCAAAATCTTTGAAATAATCTCCAAGTCTAAGTCTCTTAACTTTAACAGCTACTTTAATTTATTCTAATAACACAGAAGGTTATAACTAATTATTTTATATATAATATTATTACTTTTTCTTTTTCTTTTGGTTTGACACCAACATAAGCTTAAGATGCTCCTGATTCTGTTTATATTTCTAATGGTGGTTAAGTATCATTTATAAATTGAACATATCGAATATCACCATCATCTTCAGCAGCATAAATTTTAACAACTGCTTAAAATTCTTCATCTGATAAAATAAAATTAACTGTTGCTAAAGTTTATCTAAACTATTTAGGCGATACTTTATTTCTTCCTAATTTATCCCAATCTTAAAAGAATTATTTTATATCAAGTCTTGTTGCTTTACAAAAATATTAAAATTTCCTTTTCACAACTTCAGCTACTTATCTATCTCTTTCAGTAATTGATACTCTACCATAATTATACTAAGTAGACATTTAAGGAATATCTTCAGATGGACTTACTTTCTCCAAATTTTTAGTTGTAAATACTTAATCTACTTAATCAGTAAATTCTTTCCAAAATACAAATCCTTATTTATCTTTACATCCAAAATTACTTAAAATTAATTAAAATTCTGCATCTGACAGTAGAATTTTAGCCATACTTAATCCTTTTCTTAATTAAGTTATTGTTATTGTACCACTTCTTAATTTATCAAAATCTCTTAAAAATTCTGCTATTCTTTATCTCTGTTCTTTTACTATTCTTCTTAATTTAGCCATTAAATCTTCAAAATCATTTGGTTTGTCATTTCTAATGAATGCTTAACTTAAATTATCTGATTTAACATAATTTTTAAATGCATCTGCATGTGATTTACTTATTGCAACACCTTCATCTGATTAATCTACAATTCTACAAAAATCATAGTAATTAACTTCATTTAAATTTGCCTTATCTACAAATCTCTTTAATAATAAATTTAAAGAGACTGGATCTGGAAATAAATTAAACTAATTTAATATTCTTAAAAATTAATTAGTTGTAATATATCCCTATTTTGTTTTATCAAAATCTTCAAAAACGGGTTTTAATAGAACTCTTTTATTTTAAATTGCTTATTTATATTTCATAAGTAATTCATCTAATTAAATTGCTTCTTATTCTGTCATCTATAAATATCTTCTTCTTGCAGGTAATGTTGTAGAATCATCTATTTAAGGAACATATGCTTATGGTTCCTTATCAATTCCTTTTAATGTAAATATTTTATCAACATCCTCACAAAATTAATTATAATCCACTTAACCATTTGGAATCTTATCTATTTTATATTTATTCAATAATATTTATATTTCTTTTTCAGAAACAGGAATATTTTAAATATGTAAAATTCTAGCAAACTTAATTCATTATTTATATTATACCTATGATTCTGTTACTAAACCTTTTCTCAAAGAATCAAAATCCTTAAAAAATTCTCTTATTCTAATTCTTTTCATAACAACATCTCCTTAAATCTTTTTTAATACTTAATTTAATGTATTTATATTATCTGTCAATTTTTTTGATGTAAATAATGTTGATATTAAATCTAATCCTTCTTTGTCTTCTATAAAATCATCATCAGGATGAATCTAATTAATATATTTCTATACATCTTTTGGATTCTATTTAATTCCTGTAATTACTCCACTTAACATTTCTTAGACATTATCAACATCATCACAAAATTTTACATAATTAACTTCTTTAGGATTTCCATTATCAATATATTATCTTATTAATAATTACAAATATCGATCCTTTGGCAATAATCCTAATTAATTTAAAACTCTTGAAAATTAATCTGTAGTAATATGTGAACATGCAGTTCTATCAAAGTCTTAAAATGGCTGTTTTAAGAATATTCTTTTTGTAGCTATTTTTCTTTTTATAGCCAACATTAATCTTTTTACTGTCTCTTCCTCATCTTAATTGAAAATCTAAATATGTTATAAATTTATACTTGAGGTGCTTAAAAAACTTAAGCTTTTGCTTCATTATTAAGAAATTATTCCTCAAGTTTATTACAGAAAGTTGTATATTAAACTAAACCATCATTTAATTTATATCTTCGAATGATCTCTTCAATATCCTCCTTTGTAAAATGAAAATTGATCATAGATAGTGCAGAACGAAACTATTCATTAATCATTAAATATTACCTTGTCTTCTGTCACCCAACCTTTTCTTAATCGATCAAAATCTGTAAAAAATTCTCTCACTCTTATTTACTTTTTATATACATCTTATTGTAATCTTGTCTCTATATCTTATTACACATAAGTTCCAACTAAACCTTTTAATAAGTCTACTTTACTTATTGATTATCCTGCAGAAACTAAGGCTGTAGCCATCCTTCAGTTATCTTTTTTTATAGTATATATATTATTTAATTTATTGTCTTTTTCAAAACATCATAATAATTATAATTTCTCATTTTTCTCAATTAAAACTGCTATTTTTCTTTATCTCATTAACAACTTATTTTTTCAAAATTTATATTAATAAAAATAACTAAACATTAAGTCTAATTATGCTATCTCAAAGAACTATTTAAAGTAAAAAAATCTAGTTTGTCAATTATGTAACCCTTCCAATCTTAAGATAAATTTAATAGCAAACTTTTTAAAATGGAGAAAAAAAGATTGATAAAGAAAAATGAAAATTGATCAAAATTTTAATGTTTTTCTAATTTGCATTATTTATTTCATAAAGCCTTCTTTAAATTATCATTATTTTAAATACTTTATCCAAGTATTTGAGTTAAATATGATCAAAAATAATATATATATATTTTTTTTTTTTGGAAAATATTATTTAATGTTTTAAAATTTATTAAAGCTTGGCAAACTTATTTAAGAGTTTAAGAAAAATTATCATATAATTAATTTGTAATATAAATAAAGTTCTTTAATTAAAATCTCACTTTCTATTAAAATTTATAATTAATTTTATCAGATTAAAAAAATTCATTAAATATAATTATAAAATAATTATAAATAATATTTGATAACATACAAAGTGAATTAAAGTATATTATAATTGACCTATTTCAAGCAATAAATTGAACGATTACTTAATTTATACCATTTTTGATCATCTCATACAATAAATGAGATTATACCATTACCAACTTATGTATATTGCAAATCACTCTGATCGATTTAGAAATAAAAATCTCTAAAAATTAAAGACAATTCTAATAATTGGGAATAAGTAAAATCATCATCTTTATATTTAGGAAATTTATAAGTATTGATTTTCTTTAATAATTAGAGAATTAATTAATTTTTAATCATATTTAAAAGTGAAAAAAAATTTTTCTTAGAAATACATTTTTTTTAAATTTTAGGATTATGTTAAATTGTTGAAATTTATATTATAATTGCTTTAAAATATATGAATTCCAAAAATATTATCATGATGGATGTATGTATAATTCATCCGATTTTATAAGCACATATATTATTATAATAAATAAAATTAATTTGTAATAAAAGGATTAGAAATTGTAATTAATTAGTAAGATATGGATTTTAAATAAAATTATTTTATTTAAGTCATTTCTAATAAGGTTAAGTGAATGGATGAAAAACATAATTAGATTATGTTAAAGATGTGAGTTAATTCTTGATTTATTCACACCAAAAAGAAAGCATCATAAAATTATTCTTATTCTCATTGTCTTAAATTTCTTTTTAATCATTTTCTTCCTTTTAACTCTTAATTGATTTTTCAATACAGTTTTCTGTTTTTTAGCAATAGAGATAAGTGGACATCTATGGTTGAACTGGGTTTAAAACAATATCATATATTCGAATAATTTTTTTAAGTTTCCTTACTCGACTCTCCTTTTTACCTACTCTTCCTTCCCTCATATATGTGTTGATAATGGATTTACAGGTAGATTGTAATATATTGTGTTCTTAGGCAACCTTTTGATAAATATATATTAGAATTACATCTGCAATTGATTTCTTCTCAGTCAATATCTAATGAATGATTTGTTCTCTTAACTCATTATTTATCTTGCTGTACTATTTTTTAAGGTCTTCCATTATTGAATTATATTTTTATTATATGATGACAAAAATTTTGTTTAGAACTTAATTATTTTCATAATCCTTAATTTAAATCCAATTATAATTTTTTCTAATGTTATCTCATGCTTTTAATTTTTCTAATTATAATCCTCATTTGTTGTTTTACAAACCAACCATATTTTTCAAAATCTCTTTATTTAGGTGCATTTATTTTTCCATTTTTTATAGATTCTGTTATTATATTTTCTATTATCTTTGTCTTTTAAATCACAAAGTTATATTAATGTAAAACATTTTTAAGGTTAATCTTAATCATCACTATTGGATTCATCATTTTAATTATTCTTTATATTTATTGTTTAATATTAAGCAACAGATGAATTAATTTATGGATTATATTATTTTAAAACATAAAATTTTGCCCATGGACCATTATAATAATAATAAACCATCTATCCAAGCTTTTCTTCATATTATTAAAATTATATTAATTCTTTAACTAATTATTCTTTTAACCAAATTGGTTTTTTTAAAATAACTATTTTAAGATTGGATCACTATCTTAAGAATCATTTATATCAGTAGGAAAATCTCCAAATTTTAAAGTTTTTATTATAAAATTTTTCCTTTCAACTTTATTTCTCTTAACTTACTTTTTCATCTAATTTATCTTAAAATTAGAACCTCTCCAACAAAATGGTTTAGCTATATTTCTTGGAATATGCTACTTCTACTATTCATAAGTTTTACATTAAATACATTCTATATTTCTATAAAAAATAAAATTACTTTTAAATTAGTCTAAAATTTTTTGATCATTTTCACCTTCAAAATAAAAATCTTAAAAATAATATTAGGAATCGTAAGTTTCATTAATTTCGCCATCATATTTCTAATTTATAAACTATAATATTTGGATTAATATAATGTTAAAATTTTCTCATTCTAAAAATCATATTAGTTTGATTCATTTTTTTCAAAATAAACTTTCCCTTTTCAGAACTCATAATTTATAAATCAAGTGCTTTTGTTTTACCATGCGGAAATTAAAAAGTTTACATATCAACTTATTTTATTTCTGAATTAAAGTGAAAGGTAGAATTAAGTGAGAGTTTTCATTTATTTTTACAAAAATAAATTAAATAAATAAAATAAATTTAAATTTTACAATTCTGATAACCACATAAAATGATTATCACATTAAATTATTCTATAATATATAAATTTATTTTTAGATTATAGCTATTTAAAATGACTAAATAAATGAATTTTGATTGGATTATTAGAATTTTTAAGTATATCATTTCATTATTTCTTTTATTTTCTATAGCTCTAGAAAATGGATTCGAACTATGAATGACAAATTAATATTGATTAATTGTATTAGGAGATTAAACTTTTTTATAAAAGTTTTTTACTATAATTTATTTTAAAAATAAATAATACAGAATGTCATATAGTTATCTATTCAAATTCATACTTATTGGTGATACAGGTATTTAAAAAGTATTAATTGTTTAGGAGTTGGAAAATCGTGTCTTTTACTCTAGTTCATTGACAAAAGATTTAGATAGAAACATGAGGTCACTATCGGTGTAGAATTCGGTGCAAAATTAATTGAATTAGATGGATTAAATATAAAATTATAGATTTGGGATACAGTATTATTATTAAAGTATTTTAGGCTGGTCAAGAATCCTTTAGATCAATAACTAGATCATATTATAGATCTGCAGCAGGTGCTATAGTAGTTTATGATATTACAAAAAGAGAGAGTTATGAAAATGTGGCTAGATGGATGGAAGAAGTGAAATAAAATGGAAATCCTAAATTATCTATGCTTTTAGTTGGAAATAAAGGTGATTTAGAATCAGAGTAATTATATAATGTATTTTAAGACGTTAAATTTCTTATAATGAAGCATAATAGTTTGCAAAAGAATGTGGAATAGAGTTTTTTGAAACTAGTGCTAAAACAGCAAATAATGTAGATGAAATCTTTGTTAAGATGGCTTAAATTATTTTAGAAAAAATTAATCTAGGATAAATTGATGCCAAAAATGAAAACTTTGGAATTAAATTAGGTAGTGAATAAACAAATTATAATCATGGAAATTAAAATATCACTAATTTAGAATAACAACAAGATTATTAACCTTATGAAGAAAAGAAAAAAAATAATATGTGTTGTTGAAAAATTGAAATTATCAATTTATTATCATTTTATGTTATGTTTGTATTCATTTTTTGATTGTATATTATTAATAAGTTTATAATTATGAATAACACTGAAAAAATCAAAGAAGAAAAACTTTAAATTTCTTAATCTCAAATAGCTCCATAAGATATAATTTAAATTATTTAGAATAAGTATGCAAGAAAGCAAAATTAACAAAAAGATTGTATAAATCTATACAAATATTAGAGATAATCATTAATGAAATTCCTGAATCATCAAAAATTATTGATTCTACACTTCAAAAATAAGATAGCTAACAATAATTAATATTTCAAGAAGACATTTATGCAAGAAGTTTAGAAATTTTTAAATTTAGATTCATTTAAGAGTATAGGTTGCATTTGTAGAATATGTGAATTTACAGAATATAAAGAAAATCCTCTTATTAGAGTATGTAAATGTATCAGATCACAAAAGTATGTTCATGAATATTGTTTGAAAAAACAAATAATAAAATAATATCGAAATAAACTTCATGAAGCAAAATGCCAAATTTGTTCTGATACTTATTAAATGGAACTCAGAATTGAAAAAATATTCTCTCCTGTAAATGATAATTTTACTTTATAGTAAATTGCATGGTCATAAAGTAAAGATAAATTACCCTTATTTTGTTTATTGGTGTTTTTAGTTGTAATGATAGTTGTTATAGTATTACTCGGAATACGATTGTATGAAATTATTGTAATTTAGAACAGAGGCTTAGTAAATTACTGATAGAAAAAATATTCTTGATTCTCAATTATTCTTAATAATATTTATAGGTTTTGCAGTTATAATAATTTTAATACTATTATTCTTAATTGCTTTGATTATCAAGGGGTTGTTAATTGTAGAAAAAATTTTATATTGGAAATTAATTGAATATCAACCACTGAAGAAATCTATATTAAATAAAAATATTTTGATTTCTGATATTTAATAATCATTTCGAAAATCTAAACAATTTGACGAATAAGAAACCACTCAAAATAGAAAAAATAATCATCTAAAAACATTTAATATACAATAAAATAATCTAAACTAAGAAGTTGGTGAAATATTTACATAAAGAAATTAACAAAAATAAATTAATACTAATAACATTCTTAGTAATTAAACTGATCCTCGATAAACTAAAAGAGCTAGATTTTCAATCATTTGATTATCATACTTTGCTTATAAATTTCATTTTTATGATATATGATTAAATTTATTTTAACAATCTTTTCATTAATTTTAGAAAATAAAAAAGAATTTTTAAAATAGAACTAATTTATTAAACACTTTATCAGAAAGTAGTCTAGAAATTTTAATTATAATTTAGTATTAGTAGTATTAAACCTTAGATTTAAATACTATATTTTTTATTTGTCTAAGGCTATTACTAATAAATATCATCATTTAGAATAATCTGCAAACAAAATTTAAGAATTTTTAAGAAGTAAAATAGATTAAAAAAATAAATAAATAAAGATCTATTTGAAATAAATGTAATTTATAAATGATAGAATAATCAAAGAATTAGATGATTAATTAATTAAAAATGAAAATAATTATAAAATGTGAATAATATAAGAATGGAAAAATAGAGTCGAAACATTTTAGATTAGAATAGATGTAAATAAAGTTTTTGAAAATAGAATAAATAGTTCAATTCTATCAAGGACAAGTGTTTTTTTTGTTTGTCTTCTATTTAATAATTAACAGATAATTTAAATATATTTAATTCAAAATGAGCATTCGGCAAAGTCTTATTCAACAATTTATGCACACTTTATAGAGTTAGAGTCCATAATAAACTATAACTTTATTGGCTCTAATAGGAATTGAAAGTGTACTTTAAGAGAATGACAATAAATTAGTCAGAGAACAAATTGCCCTTATAAGACGATAGATAGAAAATATTTAGACTAAAGAAGAAGAACATACTTAAAGAGGAGTAAAATCAAAGGAAAGAGCACTAACTCCAAAGATTACAGAATCTTAAGCTCCAACTCCATTAAGTCACTAAAGAAATACTGTGTCTAGACATCATTTAGATGATCAAGCAATGAGGATGGCACTAAGTTAATAATATGAGGAAACATAGTCATTCAGATCTCCAAAATCAGAAATCTCTAATATAAGAACACCTAAATAGTCTATTCAATATTTTATAGATATGAAGAGTTAGAAACCTAAAAGAGGTCCAGAAAATAAATTAAAGGAATTATAAAACAATTTAACAAGAGAATTGATAGCTGATTATTAGGGTGTGTTGGAAGAAATTAAATAAAACCCAACAAAATATACTGATACTCCAGAGACAAGTCTTTAAGAATAATAAATAAAGGAATATATAAAGATGCAATAATAGATACAATAATAGTAACAAAAATTAGAAATTGAAAAATAACAACATTAATTAAAATAACAATCATAAGACTATAATTAATCTTAGAAAGACCTTTTAAATTTGAGAAGGAGAACTGAAACTTAGCCTGATTAGATATTAGAGAAATCATGGCAAATTTAAGAGAAAAAAAATAATTTAGGTTTGACAAATTATAAATCAGAACCAAATTAAATATAAACTTAAATGGCGGCAACTAAGAAAGTTTAATCTACACCATAATAAAAAGATAGAAAATCTCCAAATAGATATGAATACTAATAATAACAATAATAACAATAATAATAATAATAATAATAATAACAATAATAATAATAATAATAATAATAATAATAATAATAATAATAATAATAATAATAATAATAATAATAATAATAATAATAATAAAGTCTGTAAACAGAAAATACATTTTCATTTTTTTAGAGATAAAAGACTTAAGGAAATTAAATGAATACTCAATAATCAATAAATTATGATAAACACAGCGGAGGTTTAAAGTAGATGGCAGATAAATTGATAAATTCTCCAATAATTTAATAGGTTTCATTAAAATCAGCTGAAAATATTTCATCTCCAGGGAAAGAAGTTTAAGTTTCATAGTTTGAAGAATAAGGTATAAAAAATGGAATAAAAAATAGATTCAATGAGTTCAAATTCGAGTGCATTTTCACTATTTTAACCAAATGAGGAATTGAAATCATTTTTTAGGAAGGAATTGATAAAGGAAGAGAATGATGAAAGTAAGTGTGTATTATATAAAAATAGATCATGATCCAAATTGCGTGAAGTATTCTAATATATTTTTGAAAGGGAGAATGGGAGGATCAAAAGTGTTTTGAATTAATTAGGTATATAATGCAATTTTGAATTACTTTTACTTAATATTAATAATTAAAATGGCAGATTATTATACATATCAGAGGAAACGAAGAGATCTAGGGAAGCCTTGCAATTTTTAAGATAGTGAAATAAAAATAGCAGGTTATACAAAGACAATTACAATAATTCCAAATTATGTGAAAAGGAATCCAAATCATATAGATTTAGATAATATAGCAGAATATTCAGAGCATTCTGTATGAATTTAATAAACTAAAACATAGGTGAATACAGAGAGAGTATCAACAGGAGATAAGGTGATGTGTCATAAAGAAGGAGGGGTATTATAATATATGCAACAGTTGTTAGTGGCCTGCAGGTATAGACCCAATGGAGTAGCAAGATTAAAATAAATACAGAAGAAGGTTTGAGAAAGATGCGGCATTTGCAGTTGCTGTAAAGGAGTTAAGTAATACAGTGGAAAAATGCATTCTTTAGAATAATTAAATAGATTTATTTGAGGAGTATTTTTTAGATGAGGAAAGTGAGCATTAGGTTGAAAATTTAAGTACTAAGACATTAATGTTATTTAAGTATTATAAAATGTATAAGTAGGGATTAATCATAAGGAGTTAAGAGATCTGTATCAGAAATATCTTGGCATCCAGAAGGTCCAATAAAAGCAGCTGTTTCTTATGC